CAGGGGGGCCTAGTGTGCTATGGTCCATGGGGTTGGGAAGAGTCAGACACGACTTAGCAATTAAACAATTCACACCCAATACTAAATTATAAATAGCTTGATTTGTTCTGGTTAAAAGCAAGGTGCAAGTCCATACGAACATTAAGTAGTGCCCTGCTGGACACTAATCCAGCAATCCTCATAGTGGTGAACTAACTGCACAGGGCAGTCCACTACTCTCCCATCAAATGGCCCTCAGAGGCAATCACATTGCCATCAAGCCTAATAGCCACTGAACCCCATGATTTCCATTAATTGGTCCAACCTGTTTTTGAAGCCAGTCAATCTGGAAGGCAGAGCCCCACCTCTTGTAAATTATAGGTTATCTTTATCAGCAACCAGACTTACTTAATAAAGCACAATAAAAAATCTGATTTAGTGTTGCATGCCAGTTAAACTACTGCTTATAAAGGTTTGTATAGCAAATTATGTATCTCATGGCAGAATGATCCTTGTGGTATCCTTAGTGGTCTGTGAGCTTGGTTGTTTTCATGCAGGTTTCATTATCCAATTAGCAAAACATCATCAGTGCAAACGAGTATTTATTTATTTATTTATGAGGCTTATATACCGCTTTAAGTGCAAGCACTCTCTAAGCGGTGTACACCAGTAAGCAATGTATATATATATATTTACATTGCCCCCAACAATCTGGGTCCTCATTTTACCTACCCCGGAAGGATGGAAGGCTGAGTCAACCTTGAGCCGGTGAGTATGGAGTTTACTTCCAGTGTAAGTGCCCTCACAGTTGTTCACCCTTCCGGAAGCCCGTATTCCCCCCCCCACACACCTTCTTCCAGCTCTGCTGTCACCCTAAATAGTATTTCCCACCCAAGCCTTCACCATTGTGACCACTAGTCTCCTACCTGACTTGGCAACAAAGAATGCTGCTCCTCACTGTCCTATTGCCACCTCCCCAGCTGGGTCTAGCAAGCTCCCTTTGGCAGACAAGCCTCCACCACTCTGCCACCTTCTTTGCACACACCACAGGGCTGCATCTCTGCCCAGAGCCTGGATTCTGGGTTATTAGCAGGAAGAAGACAGCAAGATCAACTGTGGATTGTTGAAATAGTAGCAGAGAGGCTGCAGGGATATGTGGTGGATTGTGTGCACAGATAGAGGGTTAGATGAGTGGGGGGAGTTGAAGCGCCTATATAGTTGTGAGGAAAAGCCTTTTTTTTTCATTTGACTGCAGAAGTGCTGAAATGATGGTATCTTTGAGGACCATTCATAAGCCATATTTTCAGCACTGTTTTAATTTTGAAAGGTCACTGAGTAGTCATAGATTGAGGACTATCCGTAAAATCAAGCAGCAGATCCCACACTTACTTGCACTGATGACATCATGTAATTGGGTAAAAAAATGACTGCAAGGAAACAACCAAACTCAGAGAGCACCAAATTCTCCATAGTTCAACCCTGAACTATATTCTCTTCTATTTGAAACATAGTCTTTTCGTGCATTGTGCCCCTTAACAAGTTTCAGTTCAGCAAAAGTATGCTTGCCAATTCTGCTAAAATGGGAATATACAATCATTTTTACATATATGTTTTATTTCTCTCAAAAAACCTTAAAGCAGTAATGAAATCTATTTCACTTTTAATCCTGCTCATGGCTTGTTGACACTTACAGTTCTGGCTAAAAGACTTACTAGTGCAGGATTTGTGGGGAATTCTGATATTTTTTTTTTAACTTTGTAAGGCAATGTCTCGAATAAAAGAATGGGCAAGATTATATATTACACATTCTTTATATTTATTAACTGACACCCAACATACTTTAAAATAGAATTAAATCCTTAATTCCATCTGTATCAGAGCTAGAAACCTACGGCCCTCAAGGTGTTCCTAAATTACATTTGCCAGCATCCAACATTTACCCAAGGTAATTCAAAGTATAGAAGACCATCAGAGTCCCCTCTTGATCTAGTTTCAGGCTCAAGAATATTTGTTTAGCCTTCTTTTAGCCTGTTTAGCTTTCTGTTGGGTTTTCCTTATTCACTTACAGAAGGTGTTCATGGCAGCTTGAAGAAGAGAATGAAATAAAACATGTCATCTATTTGCTTTATTAGTATATCTAATATTGCCAGGTTAACAACTGGAAATCCTGGAAGCTCTCAGATATTAGGTCCCTGAAATAATTTGCCTTTTGTATGCCTTTCAGTATCCTAAGCTGGTACTGGAAAAAGGGAATGTATGTTTCTTAAAATTTTCAGATAGGTATAATTAACTATATTTCTCATTCTTCCCAAAGGGCACTCAAGCAGTCATAAAATAATCAGATTAAAAACCTCAGGGTTTTTGCCAGAAAGCAAATCCTAACTATTGTAATAAACAAATAAAACAAAATGGACATAAATATATGTTCTAAAGCTATGTTATAGGGCTATACAGATAGTCCTTGACATACAGCCATTCATTTGGTGACTGAAGTTACAACCGTACTGAAAAAAATGACATGACCATTTTTCACACTCGGGTTACAGAATCCTCATGGTCACATGATTAAAATTTGGACACTCAGCAACTGGCTCATATTTATGACTGTTGCAATGTCCTGGAATGATGTCATTTAATCACCTTTTGCGACCTTTTGGATGCCAGATTCACTTTACAACCATGTTGCTAAATTAACTGCAGTGATTTATTGAACAACTGTCTTGTATAACAATGGAAATTTTGAGTTAAATTGTGAGCCATAAGTCAAGGACTACCTGTATTAATACATTTATTCAATATATGATTTGTCCGTACCTCTGCTTCTAAAGGAAAACAAAAAAAACATTTAATTTAAAATAATCAAATACACTTGTCTAGACATAAAAGCAGGACAAGATAAATTTAGAAAACGTGTAGATATAGGCCAGAATTGATTTTATGAACTACAGGCAGTTGCACACTAATGCAATAGTGTGAACTATAATATCTTGCTACTTACCTAGACAAAAGAAATAAAGAAAATCTAAAGGATAAAAGAATTCAATGAACATATCACTATATATATATATCCAGAAAAAAACAAGCAATTCTTTAGAAAAGTTTTTGCTTGGATAAGGAAATCTTTTATTTCTTTGGGCTATGGCAAGTTGGAATTTAGTTTGAAATGAGTGACTTTGTGATTTCCCCCTTTTGACTACAGTATATGAAATGTGGAGTCCTTGATGCTCTGAGCTTGGTATTTTTGCTTGCAGACATTTCCACAAACAAATGCTCAACTTCAGAAATATAGTGAAAAGAGGAGGAATAGATAAGGCTGAACAAAGCTTTGTTTCCATGGTTCCAGATTTAGCTTCCATGTGCTGCATATCTCTCCTGAGTCGATTGAAAGTGACTGAAAAATAGCTGACATTGAATAAGGAGATTTCAATCTGGCACTGCTTGAACAATGAAGTACTAAGCTTCCCAAAGGAATTACTAATGCAAGATTTGTTTGCTTAGGGGCAGGATCTATTTAAACAATAGAATCGTTAACATCAAAGCTCTCCAGAAAGAAAGCATCAGACAGACCAATGATGCTCCTAGACTTAATGACTGCAGTTGAGGAACAGAAATGCAGGCAGCTGATGTTTGCTGGGCTTTGCCTAGGGGCATTCACTGCTAATGAGGCCAGATGGCCCTTGGATCTGATAAATAGTATTTGGCACTATCTGGATTCTCTTTTTGATAGAGAATCATGCATGAAGAAATACAATTCTACCAATGAGTTGCAATTTACCTATTCCATCCTTTAATGCAGTGGTTCTCAAACTATGGTCCACAAACCCCGGGGGGGGGGGCTGTGATGTTGTCACATGGAGTCCATGAAGGTTTGAAGAAATATTTAAATCTTGAGTTAAGTCTTGGGGGTTTGTGGCCATGGTCACAAAAGGTATTTAAAGGGGGTCCGTTATGAAGAAAAGGTTGAGAGCCACTGCTTTACTGTAAGGGGGGGGAGGGGGGAATCTGGCAATAAGAAGAGTCTCCTGACACTTTCTTCCAAGAATTTTTATGCCAGAAACATGGGGAGCCACCTCTTTGCTCTCTTCCTGAAGAGGACATCCTGTACAGTAAAGCACATTAAATGCTAATGAAAGAAATGTGTTTTTTGCAACAACTAGTCCTCAGTCTAGGAGGCACAACTGGTTGAGGGCCCGCAGCATTTCTCCTCCCCTTAAAGAAGGCTTAATATTTGCATCCCTACAAACCGTGGCATCTTTTTCCCATCCCACAGCAGTTCGCGAAAGGCGCCTCCTAGATGTCAGGAAACCTCTGACCGACGTGCCTAACATATGAACACGCCTTCTAACCGTCTGAAAAGGTTCCTCTCAAACGGGGTGGGTAACGAGAAGCAAGGCCGGGGGCAAATGCAATCTCTCCCTCCTTCTCCCCAGGGCAAAATCCTCACTCTGCAAGCGGCTCCTGTCCCTCCTTCCCTTTACTCACTTAGCTCTTCCGCAGCCTCGTCGTCTTCATCCTCTCTGCTTTCCCTAAGTCTGTCTTCGTTGGGGGGCGACGGCGGTAGTTGTAACAGCAGCGGGGCCTCCTCAGCCGCCATTTTTCCCACAAAGCGAAGTTGAAGAGGCGAGGATTTCTTTGCCCTTCTCCTCCTCCTCCTCAGACTGCTGTGCAAAAACCCCTCAAGCTGCTGCACTTCGCGACGGCAAGAGCAAGGCTACGCCCCCGTGACATTTTGAACTCTCCCACCAGAGGCCTACATTACCCAAAATCCAACGCAGCTCGTGAACTACAATTCCCAAAATGCCGCCATGCTGAATGCGACGTGCTGCCTTTTTGCCAGGCGACAGCCAGCGGGCAGTTGGTGAACTACAGTACCCAGCGTGCAACTCGAAGGGGTGGTGTTTATGCTCCAAAAGGGTATATGTCGCGGGACACCTCAGTTTGGCCGGTTGTAGTAGAACGTCAAAGAGAAGCCGATTGGCTGCCGGAGGGGCCCCTTTTATTGCAAGAGGGCGGAGAAGCTGGGCGCCTGAGACGTCAGAGGAAACAAAGCCTCGACCAATGGCCAATACTTTTTGGCCCGAAGGTGTCTTTTAGTAACCGAGAAAGAGTCATACAGCGTGGGCGGGGAGCAAAGGTTTTAAGGAACTCAAAATGATCCCTCTGGAAAGGTTGTCGAGCTCCTGGGAATCTTGATCCGGGTGTTCCTGTGTAAGTCGTTCCCGCTTCCGCAAAAGCTACAAGGTAGGTTAGTTTCAGTTAGATTTGACATGGTGTTGTTTGAATCCAGCTTTACGGTTTCTTTAACCAATTCCGGTCAAAGCGAGACTGGTTGAACAACGGAATTGTGCTCATTTATTTACACAGCCTGTCTTAGTTAAGTTAAAAAGCACACGAGAGGGGACAAGTATTTTAAAATGGGGATACAGTGGAACTTAGAAACTGAAAAGCACCCCTTCCCTTGTGCTTTGGTAACCAATTTGGCTGATTGTGATACTAGTTGCTGTCATCTTTTATTGACACCACCTTGCAGTGCTTCTTACCCCATTTTAACAAAGACTACGGATGTTTGCTCTTTTATTTTTAATATCTTTTTTTAAAAAAGCAAACTTCTACAGTCATTATAAGAAAGCATTAATATCCACTCCTCCCCCTTAGTATAACTTTAATATCACACATAGAAATATAAACAGTGGAAACTTTACTTTAGTCATGACTAAAACAATTTAAAAAAAGACTTATATGTTGGTTTCCTTTCAAATTGCAAGGTGGTAATGTTTCATTATTAGCCTTTTAATAAAGGTGGTATTAGCATTTTAGAATGGCATCCCTGTCTCCTTTTGAAGTTCAGTAAACCATGTTTTCTTTTTAGCCAAACCCATTTTTAATGTACAAAATTTAATCTCGTGAAGTAAACAGCACTTTATTCTGAAAATGGCTGAATACACTTGCAAGTTTTACAGAAGATACAAACTCAGTTGGGAAAGAAAGTAATGTAACCCATACATTTGCCACTTGTGGAATGTTATCGAGAATCAGTGTTTTCTATTGTTTAATTTTCACATGTAACAGTATCTTTTCATGTTTGTTTACTTGCTCTAGTTTTGTACAATTTTTATTAATGTTTTACAAAAAGTTTAAAAACTAACACCAATAAAGAGCGTAAGAAAAAAAAGAGGAAGGAAAGCAAAAGTTAAAAAGATCCAAAAAGAAAAAAATAGAAGTGTTTGATTTTCTTTGCAGCAAATATAAGTACAATCACAAAATTATCTCTTACTCTATGATTACAAAAACTTTCACTTTTTTCCATTATACATTTTTCCTAATTTATTTATTTATTTATGAGACTTATATACCGCTTTAAGTGCAAGCACTCTCTAAGCGGTGTACACCAGTAAGCAATGTATATATATATTTACATTGCCCCCAACAATCTGGGTCCTCATTTTTACCTACCTCGGAAGGATGGAAGGCTGAGTCAACCTTGAGCCGGTTTGAAATGCTGATCTGCTGAACACAGTCAGCTAAAGTGGCCTGCAGTACTGCACTCTAACTGCTGCACCACCTCGGCTCAAAACCACAAATCAAAAGTATATTTTTTGCTGTTTCATTCAAAAAGTGATTTCCAGTTGACAGTAAATATAGATATTACTTTTTCTTTAATCAGAGCAGTTAGTGTAGCCATTTCTGCAAGCTCCATCATCTTGACCAACCATTCCTCTGCTATAGGTAGTATCAAACCTTTTTTCACTTTGGAGCATATAATAATGTTGCTGTAGTTGTCATATATAAAAACAAAGTCCAGTGTCTTTTTTCTAATTGTTTGTTCATTAACTCCCCAAAAACGTCTTGGTTTCCAGTTGTACTTTAACTTTAAAATCTTCTGAATTAAAGCATATATTTGCACCCAAATGTTTTGGTTTTTTTACATGTCCACCAAACATGATAAAATGTCCCTTCATGTTGTTCACACATTTCCAGCAAAAATTTGAAATACATTCTAGTCAAGTTCCTTAGTGAGAAATACCAGTGACTCATCATTTTATAAAAATTCTCTTAAGTCTGGAAGACAAGGTAAATTTTGGTCCCTTTGACCATATAGTTTTCCATTGGTCTATTTGTATATTATAGCCAAATTTTTTAGCCCAGTTTATCATACATTTTACTAGCTCTCCTTCTGTCTTATATCTCAATAAAAGTTTATACATTTTAGTAACAATATATAATTTAGTAATCAGTGCATAATTCTGTTTCAAATTCAGTCTTTGTTCAAAACCATAAAATTTTTCATGCACTATAAACTTTTATTTTAATGGTGTGGACATAGCCTATATGTCCATCACCCCAAAAATAAGTTCATCTAGATTCATAATTTCTACAGTCTCATGACTTCAGGTGGAAGGTAAAAAAGTAAGTCAGCATTCTTGTAACACCTGAAGTCATGAAACTGTAGAAATACACAAATAAAATGTTTAAAGAAGGAAAGATTTAAGGGAAACAGGCAGCACTATCTTTTTTGTACAAACTAAGCACAGTTTAAGAAAAGCATTATAGGAGCAAGTTCTGATCCATTATTTAGCCACTAAAATTTAACAAATATGCTGTCATTTGAAACGATTCCTGATAAATCTAACATTGACTGTACTCCATTTACTAAGTAATAATATATATCATGTAACTAACACATGAGCATACACATTGTTTTCTCTCTTCACCTCCTCCTTTCCTTCTAATCTATCATTGATTCATTTGTATTACATTAAATTTCCAATTAAACCTAAGATAAAAGTCAGAGATATTCCACTACAGTATTCACTGCTTAAATTAGGAATAGCCAGCCTATTCGGAGCTTTTGTGCTTTATGTAACTCCTTGGAAAAATATCTAAACATACTTGTAATTAAGATTGTAGTACTTTTTTTCAGACTTTCAGACCTAAGCATGTCAAAAAAACACAAAAAGAAATCCAGTCAAAAGGATGACACCTCGGATAAAAAGGTAAGAAAATCTAGCTATTACCTTTATATTAGCTTTATATTATCCCCAGTGTGATTGGTCCATCCCTCTTGTGCCAGCAAAACGGCATGCTGTGGATCTGTCAACCAAGGAATTTGGCTCTTGGGAGTCCAGGAGAAGAGCCTTTTCTGCAATCGAAGCTGCCATCTGGAACATCGTTCCCCTCAAAGTGAAATCTGCTCCCACCATCTTGACCTTTTGTAAAGATCTTAAAACCTGGCTCTGCCAGTTGGCCTGGGGCTAGGATAGGGGTGTGTTATCCTGGAGATAATTACTGGATTAATAGAGTATCTGACCTCCCTTTACCGTATATCCTCTGCTATCTTAGCTATTCCTCGTTACTGTATTTATTGTTTACTGTTGCAGTCTTTGATATTATAATTTTATTGGATTGTAAGCCATCCAGAGTTGTGTGACAGTGGGATAGGCAGCAAATAAATTTAATAAATAACAATAATAATGATTATGTTTTTCATTGCATAAAAAAGAATGGAAAAAAAAGCTAGGATGGTACCATGAATAGAATATGATCGATGACTAATGATAATATTCAGTCTTAATGCCATGTTTGCAGTATTAAAAATATGGACAGTCTACTTTTGTTCTCTGGATCTTGGATATAACTGAAGTCAATACAGCATTTTATTACCTAACAGAATTAAACATAACCCTCTTCAAGTGTTATGCTCTTTGCTTTTTCTCCCCATCAGTTACTTCCTAATGCTTTAACTTGCCTAGGCTGAGCAGAGATGGGGCAAAAAGCTTTATTCTCTAGGAATTAGGAGAACATGTAAGAGTGGCCAGCTTATATACACCCAAAACTGCAGGCCAGACAGCTGCAGAAGACATGAAGTGGTCCAGTGTTTAGGTAACAGTTGTAGAGGAATAAAGGACCTTTCCCTAGAACAGGGCTTTTCAACCTTTTCACCCATTGTACCACTTTTAGGATATGGCAACATCCGAGTACCACCAGTCGCCTAGGAAGCTGTCAAAAACTTGATGACCCAAAAAAAAAAAAAAGGAAAAAAATGATAAAGTACAGGTAGTCCTTGACTTACAACAGTTTGCTTAGTGACTCTTAGAAGTTACAATGGCACTGAAAAAAGTGCCCCCCCCCAAGCCACAGCCAAGGAAGATACCTGCCTGCCCACCCGGCGGCGCTCTTCCTCCTGTCCGAGGTTTTCATTGTTGTGAGCATTTCTGTTGAGGATTGGCAGCAGGGGTGGGGTGGGGGGAGTTTGGTTTTTATTCCCCCCCCCCCCGTCTGCTGGGTAGTTGCAGCAGGTTTTGGTCACTTCACATGACCCTGAGACACTGTGACCATCATAAATATGAATCAGTTGCCAAGCATCTGAATATGAATCACAAGACCCTGGAGATGCTGCAACATTCCAGCTGATTGGCGCTTCTTCTGGGCTCCGCAGAAGCACCAGGATCAGTGCCACTTTCCAGCTGATTGGTGCTTTTTCAGGGCTCAGCAGAAGCACCAGGATCAGCGCCAAGTTCCAGCTGGAGTCTGGCATGATCCTGACGCTTCCACTGAGTCTTGACACCCCGAAGAAGCGCCGATCAGCTGGAAAGCAGCACTCATCCTGGCACTTCTGCTGAACCCTGACAGCGCTGCAGCTCCAGCCATCTCTCGCTCAGGCTTGTGCGATACTGCCACCGGTTCATCTCATTCCCCTCCCCCGCTACCACTTTTCTAGGATGGTCGCGTACCAGGTGCCAGTGTACCACAGGTGGTACCCGTACCACTGGTTGAAAAGCTCTGCCCTAGAACATTTTTATTTTCAAATATTTATTTTGGTTCCAAACCAGGCTTTTCAGATGCAGAACAGAATTTAGATTGCATATTTACAATCTTATTTTTTGAGTGTGCTTAAATAAAAATACAAGAAAAGTATCATTAGGTTCTCAGATTTTGCCAAGGACAGGAGCTTTATAAAGTCAAATAGGTAAAAAAGTGTTTTTTAAGCATAAGCAAATATTTTTTCTATTTCCCATGGTGGGTTCATCATTTAAATAGGCACATAGGATAGAGCAAATGTGGAAAGTCAGGAGAATTTAAAATTATTTTTGAATGCCGATGAGCTTTTGTTCATAACAAATGCAAAATTGGCAAAGCAGCAGTTAGTAGTGGCAATGGAAAAGGCCACTGTAATTTCAAGGAATTTAGTGACATTTTGATTTCTCCTTCATATTAAGGAAAGTCTAGAATTTTGTAGTTCGTTCTGAGCAAGCATGCTTGGTTTTTTTTTACTCTTGTTGCTGAATAAAGGAGAAAGTGTGTATGTGTGGGGGGAGCTTCACATAGCTTCAAAGATTTTCTCACTATGAAAGATTCTTGCTTTCCATCTTAGAGTCACATGCCATTCAGTCAAGGTCAGGTTTTGCAGTCTCCTGACCAAGTTTGATAAAAACCTTGGGATTGTTGTTTCTTGAGAGCTTCTGCACAGAACCTTGCATTGGGTACTGTGGAAATTTGCCACCCCTTAGTTATCTCTGCTGTCATTAGCAGAAGCTCCTGGCTGTTTGTAAGGGATCTGGGAGTCATCTTCCTTGGTGCGTATGCTTTTTATGTTATACTTTTAAATACGTTTGCTTGAATTAATAATAAAGCTTAAAATCTTTTATTCACTGGTGTGCTTATTGATTCTGGATCAAAAAAACAATAACACCCAAATACCTGGGCACCTGATCACTGCCCTGACACTTGACAAAACACAGAAGACAGAAGGTTCTAACTGCTTGAAGCAGTATGTTTATACATAGTATATGAGGATCATGAAATATTTGATCTAAGAGTATCTAACTTGGGGAAACTTAGGGATTTAATGTTAAATTGTAACAGTGAGTCATACTAGTTAAGCTTTTGCCGAAACTCAAGGACAGCAAGATTAGAAGACTCTTGCTCAGTGTTTAGGCTATAAAATAGTACTTATTTCTACCATACACTGAACGTCTGCAGGAATTAACATGCAGATTGTGCAAGGAAAAAATTACCAAAATGTATCTAGAATAGTAGAAATAACAATGATCAAGAAGTAGTTATTGTTGAATCTTAATGGACATTTTTTGAAGTAGTATATGCAGGCCCATAGAGATTAATGAATATTACTGTTAATACGATACAGTAAAAACAACTAAAGTGAAAGAGACGATTATAAAGGCAGTAATAATCTGATTTAAGAGATCATATCCTGTATCTGTTTTTGAGGAAAGAATGATGCATAAAATATAGTGAAATTCCATGCAACTTTGCTTTCCCTATTGTGAAATATTATTTAATATAAGGCTGGAAAACACACATGCTTATAAATATTTCTTATTCTTTCAGAAACCAGAATCAGCAGAAATTGGGAACAGACATGCAAAAGAACAGATGGACCAAAGGTAATATTTTTCTTTGATAGGAAGAATGGAAGTATTGATATTTTGAAGGTTGAAAAATCTAAATTGGGTATATTGGACAGAACAACTGTTTGAAACCTGTTGATTAATTTGGAATCTTTGATTGGATCATTTTAGTTGCCTGACTTTTAATCAAATTATAAAGAAAATGATACTCTTGTAATAATCCACAATGCACCAATTTTATAGGTTTTTTAAAATTCTTTTATTACTTTGCCTAACTGATCTTTACTTGTACTATTGTTCAGTTATCGGGGAAAGTTCCCTACTGTTTTTAGTTTTATTTGTAACCTCATTATATTTGAAATTGTGTTGCTATGTTGCCATAAGCAAAGAAAGTAACTTATGGAATGGTCTTCTAGATACTATGGCTAATAGAAATAGGCATCCATTGCATAGCTTCAGCTATATGATAATACTTATGCCATTTGTAATGTATGAATGAGAATTCTCATTCCTAATGTAGCAATATGATATTCTTTGGATTTTTTCGATTTCAATTCTCATATGGGAATACAGTTCTTATTTAGAACTAATTTTTAGAATTAGATTAAGTATCTCATTTTAAAGAAGCTAATAATTTTATAACAAGCTACCTGTCACATTTTCTGTATGTATCAATAATTTACTGATAAGTTCGGATTTTTCTCTAACATTTTCCTGTTAAATAAAAGATTGGATTATAATTTAAAAAATCCACAGTTTACCTTCCACAGCCTTAACTTTCTTTAAAGTGATTTTTAATGATATTTTTGCAGAGTGAGTGGTGCTGGATATATGAAAGCAAAAATGAGTTTGGAACTCAAAAATTCTAGTACAGGACTTGAAACAAAGATACCAAAAGACTCACAACACAGTAATAGTGCTTTAATACCTCTGGAAGAGCGTGAAAAGATCACCATGCAATTTAAAGCCACAGCTAATCTTGGTGAGAAAAGAAGCGTTATGGAGCCTGTAGTTGTCTTCCCTCGTAAAGAACAGTCTGGCACGAATGGTAGTGATCCTGATGACAAAAAAAGGAAGAGGTTGTCGCACAATTTGGGGATCATAAACATCAGAGAGAAGGATAAAAAAAAAGATAAAATGGAGAGCACCAAGTTTAAAAAAGTAATTATAAAACACATAATGGAGGAATTCAAGGAAACTGCGAAACCTGCAGAATGTTCATTCCTTCATAAGAAAAAATCACTAAGAGTGAATGAATTCACCCAGAAGATGAACTGTACCAAAAGCCATCATGTTCCAGCTTTACCTTTTACTTTCTCAGATTCTAAAGTGCATATACAGGCTTGCAAAAAAGATAATCTTGAGAAAGACAAGCATCTTTCTTTAGAACTTTCCAGCAAAAATGGTAAAGAAGTCAAATGCAGACTCTCATATCACCTGACAAAGCTGCCCAAATGTTGGAAGTATAAAAATGAAGAACTAACATCTACTGATTCAGAGAGGAATATTTGTAATTCAAGGATTCAACAAAATAAATATGAACCTGTCACATTTCATTCAAGTTGGGTAAAGTAAAAAAAAAATGAGATATGAAATGGTAGTTTTGCTTTTGTTGATATCGCTTACTGGTTTTTAAATAACTTCCATGGGTTGATAATGTAAGAATATAAAGAATGATTCCTTAAATAGTAAAGGAGTTCTTGTTTAGACAGTGTATCAATAAAGGGGTGCATTCTTTCACTTCATAAACCAATGAGGAAGATTCTAACTTCCAAACACTACTGAAATTCAGATTAATCAGATATAACAAAGACTGATTGAGCAGAGATCTAGACTGTAGTAAATATTGGAAAGCAGATTAAGTTAGGGCTAGGGGTGCTTAAAAGTGATGGATAAAGACAAATTTTGAAGGAGAAATGCAAGCAGACTATGGGTTAAATATGAGAAGAAATTAATAATACTTCAATCATTTGAAAATATGAAATGAAACCAAAAACATTTTCTAAAACTATAATGCATTTTACCTAGTTCCTCTGGCATTATTTTTCTTCCTTTCAAAATTGCTTCAGATTCCAAGTAAAATTCTAACCTGTAATATTAACAGATAAGTACTTATATATCTTTGTTACAGAGCTCCGCATCCTCATGTTCTTCCCTTGAAAACATTGAAAATACAGATGTGGACCAAGAGGTTAGAGATTGTTTTATCAGCATTCCCTAAATGCAGTTTTTAATTCATACTAGCCAAACTTTCGATTGGGTTTTTTTCCCCTCATATTCTGTTTGTTCTCATCCATTCTAATATATGCTAATAATACATACTTAGAGACTGGATTTTTATTATCTAACCCAGTGGTGGCGAACTTATGGCACGGGTGCCAGAGGCGGCACTCAGGCGCCGTTGCCCCAGTCCTAGGCCTTCAGCTGGGTTTTATAAAGCCTTTTCGCTTTAGGCCTCCGCTGCTGTGTGCAAAAAAAAAAAAAAAAGGTTCAGTCAGTCAATTTCAACTTCTCACAGGAAAAAAAAAGATCTTGCAAAGTTGGAATTGATTGATTGAACTATTTAGTCCCACCCAGTTGGCTGTTACCACTGCAGCCATGCCCAGCCAATGGGCCACACCCAGCCAATGGACCACACCCACCCGGCACTCAACGATGCATAAGTGGGTTTTGGGTTGCAGTTTGGGCACTCGGTCTCTAAAAGGTTCGCCATCACTGATCTAACTTTTGGGTGTTTTACAATTACAAAGTTTTAAAATAAAAATAGTATATAAAAACAAAGTATGTTACCAACAAAATCACCCATAGCAGAAACAAATTGACATTTCCACTGCAGAAGAAATGCATGAAAATTCTATACCTCCCAGGAGACCATTGCAGAGGTTCACAGAAATATATGTACCTTGGGGGGAAGGGGCAGAATGGATAACTGGGAGGAATCCAAAAGTACGGTAGCCTAATGAGGACTGAGCATACTTATTGGTCAAGGTATCTAAAAGTAATGAAGAATGAACATACTTGTTCTGATCTCAATTCCAAAACTAGATAGAAAATGAATGAAGAGTCCCAGCATAACACTTTGAACTTGATAGCGAAACCTGTATGAATTCCTACCACCATGTTTATTTAAACAATATAAATAATACAAAGTTAAGAGAAATTATAATAGTTTGATTCCAGTCAAAATAATCAGGATTTGTATTGGCTAATTCCCTTCTGAAATGTGTGCAAACTAGAATTCTTGGAGAGAGAAACGAAAAATAGGATAAAGAAAGTATCTTACCTCAATGTATCAAAATATATAGACAGGTTACACATATCATGCAGTGTTAACTACAGGTTTGTTAGACCTTTCTGATAAATGTTTTCACTGAGAACAATTTTTATTCATTGCCATTAGTATTATTCATTTATTTTCCCTTTTCTTCTGTATCATATTCATCTACCATCTAGATCAGTGGTGGCGAACCTATGGCACGCGTGCCAGAGACGGCACTCAGAGTCCTCTTTGTGGGCACGTGTGTCGCTGCCCCAGCAGAGTTCGCCAAAGTAGCGAGCACCTGGCATTTGGAAGTGACATTGCATGAAGTGAGCGAGCAAGCGGCGTTGGCCCCCCAGGGATGCCCCGGAGATGGCGAGGGAATGGCCCCGGCCACACTCACCCAGTCTGCCGTGACACTGCAGCCACACCCACCCAGTGGGCCACCCCCCCCCGAGGGTACCACAATGCTGATGCAGCCCTGGCACTTTGCAATAAATAAGTGGGTTTTGGGTTGCAGTTTGGGCACTCGGTCTCTTAAAGGTTCACCATCACTGATCTAGGTGGAAAGAGTAAGACAAGGAATAGTATCTTCCTTCCCTCTCTCTTACCAACCCACACACTTGGAGAAGTAAATAGATAGTAATAGGAAGAAGGAAAAGCAGCAATAACTGGGAGTGCTTCCTTATCTTGTTCTTAAGATAGCAACTCACATTTTACAATTATTTTTATAGATGCAGATTGTAGAAGATTTACATGCAGCTCGTATTGAGAAGAAGATGGATCTGCCTGTCGTGCACACTTGTGGAGAGTTAACTTGCATGGAAATAGATCTTGCAGATGATGAATCACATATATCATCTAGTAAGCTTATCTGTGTATTCTGCTGTCTCTCCATTAACAGACTGGTGGAAAGAAGAAAATAAATGAAAGATAAAGCCAATTATTGAATTATATATATATTTTCTTCTTTTCTAATAGATATTTTCTCTGGGTTGAATACTTTGATTGTGATTGATACTAATATAATGATCAGCCATTTGACATTCATCAAATATTTAAAGAATGCTGATATCCCAGGTATGTGTGGATTTATCTCGGTAACAAGTCGTGGTCAAGTATATCTGATCTGAAAGATGTTGCTTGTCTATTACCTGCCACATCTTTTTTCAATCTGAAAGCTAAACTTCAATCCTGCATCTTATAGCAGATAGCTTCATTTCGCAAACAACTTTGGACTTTTTTTCTTTTAAGTTACCTTTAATAAAGCAATATAACATGATTTGATGTATGCAGGCATGAATTTATTTTATTTTATTTATTGACCACTCCTGATACAAAATGTACTGAAGTAGTAGACATCACACAAAGTTAAAAGATGGTGGATCAGTTTGATTTCAAACAAAAAAATCTAGAATTTTTATTGGCTTGCTTACTTTTATAACAATGTGCTTACTAAGTGTCTCATATACTTGGAGAATGTCTATTGCGTATTATGATTCAACAAATTATTGTACAATCATTTAAAACAAGATTCATAAAGCTTGTTAGGATCATCTTCAAACATTGAGAACAGGCATGCCATTAGGAAGGCTGATGTAGCTGCTTCTCAGAACTTTGGCAAGTTGCAGGTCCCTGTACAGATATTTTCACCAGGTGTGCCAGCAAAGTAAAGCATGAAATGCTTAATGTGCAAAAATAATATTGTAATATTCATTCTTTAAATGCTCTGCAATCTTGTAGTTAATAAGTATTTTACTTTAACTTTTATCCTCTCATAATCATTATCAGTGTCAGCTAAGCAAGGATGCTGAATTGGGGAAAACTTGCCACTTCTGGTCATAATACTATCCTTTCTAGTTTGAAAATAGTGTAAGTGCATTTATTTAACATGTTAAGAAAATTGCTTTTTCTTTTTTATGCTTTTGATAGAATTAAAGAGAAGTAATTACTGAACTAGTAAACATCTAATTTAGTAAAATCTTATTTATAGTAGTCTGAGTTTTGAATTGAATAAAGGAAATTTAGCAATACACCAAATTGAGAATAAGATGCCTGACCAAAAAATCCAAACACACACACACACAAAGATAGTTTTGAACTAAACAGTTTTTTTCCCCCTCTCTGGAAATCCTCTCTCTGGAATCAACAGATAACAAGACAGAGATTTGGAAATTAGAGGATAAAGATACAAAACAAGAGGATTATGGAAATGTTTTGTATAGGAATATTGCAACCATGTGGATTTCACAAATGCAATTTTTTATTTTAAGAACTTTGATCATTTTTGACAAAAATGCTATTTTTTTCTCCTAATTAGGCATAGGCAGATTTTTGCTATTAATTCCCTGGGTAGTTCTGCAGGAACTGGACAACTTAAAGCGAGGGAAGATATTGGAAAACGTTAGGCAAAAAGCAATCCCTGCAGTTCACTTCATCTATACTTGCCTGAAAAATCAAGATCCAAAGTTGTGGGGTCAATCCATGCAGCTTGCTTCTCAAAAAACACGTAAGTTATTGTAGAAATAGTCATAATTTTATTCTTATTCTTAGATCCCTAAAATCTTCAGTAAGTGCACATACGTGGTAACAAACCTCATTCCAACAGAAATTATTCCATCAGAAATGAAAATACTGAGGATGAACTTTTTTATTGCCTATTTTTTTCTCTGGTCTAAAATAATGGTGTTGGCTGCTTTCTATGAAGTCAATGATGCAATTCGCAAGACCATCCCTTGCCCACCCACCTTCCCAGTTGCAATGTATGCTGTATCTACAAAATGATTAATTCTCCCATCGATCAGCAAGTGCAAAGAAGGACTCAAAGGACTAGTTTTTCTAGACCTACTATAATTTCCTTTTAAGAATGTTTCTGTGCCCCAAAGACTTGAGAAGCAGTGAAACAAAAGTAGCAAGTTACTGCTCATAAAGTGTTCCCAGCCAAATGCTAAATAAAATAAATCACAAGTATAAATTGGTTCAGGGAAAGCAATCTATTTTGTTAGTTTGTCATAGTCATCAGCAGCAGCATTATTTTATGATTTCTTCACCTGCATATGGTTGCTGATAGCAGAGAATTAAATTTTAAAAAGAGATAATTAAAAGATAGGTAAAATGCATAAGAGAATAAGAATATTGTTATTCAAAATAATAAAAGAAACTATATGGAAGAGATGTATCTTAATGCTTTTTTTAAAAGAGATATAGAAACTGGGGACCAGTTGTACAATAAATACATGCTGCCACATGAAGAGAACACTAAAAAGTAGTATAGCTTTAAACATCTGTAATATCAATCTTTCCAGTTGCTTGACTTAATGCTTGGTCGCTTAGTGTTTTAAACCAATACCTTAAATTAAGCCTGGTAAGAAGCAGCACCATCTTTCTGTATAGGCATTTTTGCACCATTTGAAGCTTTTTGATACTTTACAGCAGTGTGTCTTTGAGATAATCAGTGCATAACCAGGAGGCCTATCCCCTGAGATTTGGAAGGCCACTACTTCCTTAGCCTTCCAGGAAGCCTCAAAGATCTGACTTTTCCCCAGACATTGAGCCAGGATGAAAATTAAATGAATATGTATTTGGGATAGGAGGGTTATGCTGCCTGAGTTTTGTGCAATGGTTTTAATTTTGTCTGTTATTATTGTGAATCATGGCTTATTCTTCAAAATGAGCTGCTGTCTATTTCAAATACAATATAACAGTAGTGGCGAACCTATGGCACGGGTGCCAGGGGCGCTGCTCAGAGCCCTCTCTGTGAGCACGTTCGTCGTTGCCCCAGTCCTAGGCCTTCAGCTGGGTTTTATAAAACCTTTTCGCTTTAGGCCTCCGCCGCCATGTGCAAAAAAAAAAAAAAGGTTCAATCAGTCAATTTCAACTTCTCGCGGGAAAACAAAAGTTCTTGCAAAGTTGGAATTGATTGATTGAACTTTTTAGTCCCACCCAGTCTGCCATTACCACTGCAGCCATGCCCACCCGATTGGCCATACCTGCCCAATTGGCCACACCCAGCCAATGGGCCACACCCACCCAACACTCGACGATGCATAAGTGGGTTTTGGGTTGCAGTTTGGGCACTCAGTTTCTAAAAGGTTCGCCATCACTGCAATATAACAATCATAGCCACCAGCTATACTTGGTGTAATTAGTTGAGAAAGTAACCTCCATTCTTGGTCAAGTTTGTGTTCTCTTGAATAATGTTTCCTTCTGAGTATTGGCACTTCACTCTTGCACTGTATTGCATTACATTACATTATGTTACGTTACATTTACTCCCAAGACAGAGCTGAAGCAAACTCTAATAAATACTGAACATCAGGAGCAAAGAGGATGATTGTAAATGAAGAATGCCACAAATATAAAAATATTTTTTCTTGCCTCTTGATGTGCTATTTCTGTTTATTCATCAGCCAATTGTTTTAGAATATGACACTGTAGTCTCTTCTTTCTGAATTTTCAGAAAGTTTCACTACTGAGAACAATGATGATCGTGTGTTACAATGCTGCCTTCAGTATCAGAATCTCTACCCTCAAGCTGAAGTAATCTTACTGACGTAAGTTTTTTGGTGTAACTTTCCAATGGAGGATCTACATTTCATTGACAGGGTAATAAGCACATAATCATTTTAAATACATTTTTCAAAAAAGTAATGCAGTTACTGATTTTTCTCAGCAGCATCCCTTTTTAAAAACACCTTGGGAACTACAGGTAGTCGTCAACTTACAATCATTTGTTTAGCAGCCATTCAAAGTTACAATGTCACTGAACAAAGTGACTTATGATTGGTCCTCACACTTACTTTAACCATGGTAGCATCCCCATGGTCTCACAGTCAAAATTTGGGTGCTTGGTGATCATGTATTTATGACATTTGCAGTATTCCAGAATCATATGATAGCCAGTTGTGGCCTTCCCTACTGGCTTCCGACAAGCAAAGTCAACCATGTGAGTCATTTAATTGTAATCAGTTGCTGGTATGGCGAGTTTTTAAGTTGTTTTGGAACTGTTAATGAGACCGTTAAAAGTTGTTTGTGCTGTTTGTAATTGTTCTGGCAGCAAGATCTGACTGCTGGTACAGGACGGATTCTATTGCAAATCAGGGCTGTTTCTGAAGGAGGTAGAGGAGGAGAGGTCCCAGGGCTTAGGGAGCAAAGGAATTGGATGAGGCTGTTGGCAAGCCCAGAGGATGGGAGAGAGGCTTTTGGAGGAATCGGAGGCGGCAGCAACATGCTCCAGGGGTGAAAAGGAGTGAGGCCCCTTTAAGGAAAAGGTGGAAGAGACAGGATCAGAAAAAGAAAAGGAGGCGAGGTTGTTGTGCAGGAATACAAGCTAATTTGAGGGTTAATTTACATGGAGCTCCATTTCGATCTGTCCTGTTTGCCATCGTTTGCTCCCTAGGCCTAGAGACTAAAATGGACATTTTGAAACTTGGCCATGAACAAGAAGTGTATATCGAAGGTGGTGACCCTTTGAGAGCTGTATGCAACAAAATTTCATTTTGATGCCAATTGGTGTACATTCAAAGTGATTATTCTATTCTATTATTTGCTTAACAATTGCCTTAGGAACAAAAATTCTGCCCATAATTATGGTGGTAAATTAAGGACTATGTGTATGTAGATTGGTGTAATGTAGTGGCAAATTATCATATTCATATATGTGTGTGTGTATATATGTATATGTATATGTGTGTGTGTATATATATATTAATATATTAATATATATTAATATATATTAATAAGAATAGTGAAAATAAAAATGTGATTCCTGGGTGAATCCATAGTCAATTACCAATAAAACGTGAACACCAGGAATATAATAAACCATAAAAGTTTAATACCATCACTGATCACTAAGCTTTCGTCAGATACTTCTGACATCGTCAGGGTTAATGCTGGTCTGTGGGAGAGTGCCTTTGACGGCTCACCTATAAAGGCACTCTCCCACAGACAAGCATTAACCCTGATGATGTCAGAAGTATCTGACGAAAGCTTGGTGATCGGTGATGGTATTAAACTTTTATAGTTTATTATATTCCTGGTGTTCACGTTTTATTGGTAATTGACTATATATATATATATCTATATATATATTATATATATATATATATATGTAGGTCTTTGGTTGTTCGCGTTTTCTCCCGCGTAAAATTGGAAGTGTCTTGGCGACGTTTCGACGAAGTCCCATTCGTCATCTTCAGGCTGGTGTTTTCAGCTTCGTGCTTTGCTCAAAGCACGAAGCTGAAAACACCAGCCTGAAGATGACGAATGGGACTTCGTCGAAACGTCGCCAAGACACTTCCAATTTTACGCGGGAGAAAACCCGAACAACCAAAGACCTACATACAAATACCCGCGAAAACCTCAGAAAACATATATATATATATACACACACACACACACACACACACACACACACACACATACATATAATATATATATGCACACATACACATACAATCTTTAATTGGAGATGACAATTTCTCAAGCAAAGAAGTTAGCAGACTGTTGTCAGAAATAATACTTTTTTTAGAACTATTGTCTTTCATTTTACTGAAGAGCAAATACTATATTGCTGTTTCAAACAATCGAACATGCAGATACGTATATGCTTATGTAGGAATTCTAAATAAAGGAGGATGGTTTTTTTTTCAATTAGAGCTTCCAGAATCCTAACTCTTTGAAAACAGAATTTTGCAAGTTTAACTTATACAATTGCTTGTTGAGAGTTTATTTTAAAATGGCTTCATGCAGGTATTGAGAGATTCACCAGCTCATGTAACACAGAAATAGGATATTTTAAATCACAATTCATTGAATATATGTATGTAATGTTCACCCATCATCTAAGCCAAAATCATAGCTCAGCATTATGGATACCTTCAGTTGTCTTCCTTTTCCCAGGAAAGCAAAACTAGGTATGTTTATTTGTATTTCTTTAATAGGGATGATAAAAATTTGTGCAACAAAGCCTTAGTGAGTGAAATAAAGGCATATAGTAAAGCAGATTTAGTTGCTGCGTTCCAGAAAATGACTCCAAAGGGCACAATTATAAGTGAAGATACTTCCAATAACAAGTGGGAAAAAGGTTGGTTTTTCTTTATATATTTTCATGATAGTACTGCCTTACAATAGAATTAATTGAGTAAGTGCCTCTGAATTTGGTATGATTTATTTCCAGGTAAACATAAGATTTTGCAATGTAAAACTAAAAATTGCTTTAAAAAAAGTGCGTCATAAAATAAATATTTCCAAATAATCATCACTGATAAAATGCCAACATTACCCTAAAGAAGGGGTCCCCTGGTCCATGGACGGGTACTGGGCCGCAGCATGCCAGCAACTGCTCCACATAAACAAGCAAAGCCCCATCTGTGGGATGCAGGCAGCACACAAAACTACGCACTCTCCAGTCCGTGGAAAAACTTTTCTCCACGGAACCTGTCCCTGGTGTCCAAAAGGTTGGGGACCTCTGCCCTAAAGTACACTGTGCACAATTATTAGGCAAGTGAGTATTTTGACTATATCATCATTTTTATGTATATTTTCCACCTCCAAACTGTATAATCTGAATGCTTAGTGGATATAAGCATATCAAGTGATCTGTATTTGTGTAATGAGGGAGGGTGTAGCCTAAGAAGATCAACAACCTATATCAAGGTGTGCATAATTATTAGGCAGCTTCTTTTCCTCAGGCAAAATGAGCCAAAAAAGAGATTTAACTGACTCCGAAAAGCCAAAAATTGTAAAAAGTCTTTCAGAGGGATCCAGCACACTTGAAATTGCTCAGATATCGGGGCGTGATCCCAGAACCATCAAACGTTTTGTTGCAAATAGTCAACAGGGTCGCAAGAAATGTGTTGGGACAAAAAAACGCACATTAAGTGCCAAAGATTTGAGAAGAAGCAAACATGAAACTACCAGGAACCCATTATCTTCCAGTGCTGCCATGTTCCAGAACTTCAGCCTACCTGGAGTGCCCAGAAGTACAAGGTGTTCAGTGCTCAGAGACATGGCCAAAGTAAGGAAGGCTGAAAGCCGACCATCACTGAACAAGATGCATAAATTGAAATGGCAAGACTGGGCCAAGAAATACCTGAAGACAGATTTTTTAAAGGTTTTATGGACTGATGAGATGAGGGTGACTCTTGTGCTGTTCCAGTAATGGAAGTGAAAACTTCAAAAAAAGTACTGGCTTCGTAGAAGGAAGGAAAGTCTAATTCCCTTCAAGACAGAGCTGATTCCATCTTTCTTATGATCATGGATTCTGTCATTTTTAAATCGCCTGCTTATATATGTCTGCAAAATTCAACTATTAAATATCACGGCTTTCACGCAAACTGTTATGTAATAACATATGAATTTCACTTGCTGTTTTCTTCCATTTCTTGTGGGTTGGAATGTAGAGTTTTTATAACCTAACTAAGCACTGACTTTAATGTCACTGCCAATAGACTATAGAGAGTTATACAGCATTCCCTAATGATGCCTTTGACAATGAAGCATATTTATAGGAATTAGAATTGAAGGAGGAACAAAAATCTTTATCAAACAGATACTGCCGCGGACATTTTAACTATACAATTTGAGCGTAAGTAGTCCATGGCTGGATCACTAACGGGCCCAGAGCTCCTTCGACTCAGATGCCAGCAAGATGGAGATGAGGTACTGGTATGGGCTGGTATTATTAAAGATGAGCCTTTTCAGTTGGACCTTTTCAGGTGGAAGATGGCATCAAGGTCAACTCCCAAACCTGCTGCCAGTTTTTAGAAGACAATTTCTTCAAGCAGTGATATGGGAAAAAGTCTGCATCTTTCAAGAAGACCATGATTTTTATGCAGGACAATGCTTCTGTCAGAATCCAACTATATTTCATCTTTAATTATCAAATATAGAAACTCCCAATTCTGCCTTCTCTGGATTCTGCCATAAGAGGGAGAGAAGGGGGAGAACAAAGGGGCTTTATGGCCCTCACTTCCTTCAGTAGACTTCTAGGGAGCTGAATGCTGAATGTGTGTTTATTGTAACCTCAAAGCGTTAGCACCAAAGAACATCACCATAACAAAGAAGGGTATTTGCGTTTCATGTAGTTATCTGAAGTCTCCATCCAGACGGAAGAAAGCATCAAAGGGGTGGAATTGTGATGCCTGAAACTATCACTGGAAGGGGGGTTGATTGGGTGGGACTACTGGGGAACCCCTTAAAACCTTGAATGGGAGGGCTTGGACCCCAAGTCCTGTCTAGCATGCCTGCAACCACTTCTTCTTAATAAAGGATTCCTGTTGGAAGAATTATTCCAAGAGTTCTGTCTTCTTAAGATGCAAAGTGGGGTGGGTCCTTACATTAGACAGGACTTGCAAAATTAATCCACCTGGAAGGGAGACCCTTGCCGGGGGATTTTGCAAAAATTTACCATGTCAGACAATGGAGCAAGAGAGGGGGAAAACTCCCTGGAAAGAGAGCCGCTGACCCAGTTGGAACCTTGCCAGATGTTGGGATCCGAGAGGTCAGATTCCTCGGGAGAAGAAGTGGTGGAGACACGGGACCACAAGCCTCGCTGGTCAATGGGCGTTGGAAAGAAAAGTGAGTGGGGAAAGGAATCAAGAAAGGTGACCCTGAGACGGGGGACCAAGCAACCAGAATGGAAGCAGGAGATGGAGAAATCCCTGCACGCAAGTGAAGAGGGAGGAAGCTGGGCACCGTACTCAGACTGGATCCTAGAGAAAGCTATTGACCTGATGAAGAGAACTCTCAGCTTCCTAGGAGAGGAGAATACTGAGCCCTACGGCCGCCCCAACTCCTGGAGCCTCAAAGGGAGAGACACCGAGGGGGACGTGGAACCTGCAACCCCAGGGACATCTACTGATCCAGGAGCCCCCACCCCCTACCGGACCACAGATGGCAATCTGGACGGAAGACACTACCACCCACAACGGAGGCACCGATCCATTCCAAGACGTCCACCGTTGGAGGTGAAATTCAAAGGGGAGCCAACACGCTTGGGGTTTTTCCTAACCCAAGTCCTCAGCTACATGGAGGAATATGGGCAGGACATTCCCAGCGACAAAGCCCGCATCCGGATCGTGCAATCTGCCCTGGATGGACCAGCTGCGGATTGGGTAGTGAACTTGCATGACTCCAATGCCCCAGAACTCAGTAACTTCAACCGTTTCATGTCCTCTTTGAGAAGACGATTTGAAGACCCCCTGGCTGATCGCAAAGCCCGTGAAAGGATAAAAACAATGAGGCAAGGCAAACGCCCAGTGGCTGAGTATACACAAGAATTCCGGGCCATTGCCAGCAAACTGAATTGGCCAGAAGACATCCTCCTTGGCCATTTCAAAGATGGACTAAACTATGATCTATATGATGCTTGCCTGCCCCGAGGGGACCCACATCGACTTGAGGAATGGTACGTCTTGGCAGAGGAAGCAGAGATCGACATATTGAAGAGGCACCGCCGAGGAAAACAATGGAGCCGCCCCCCGCCTGAGCTGACACACCAACCGGTGAAATCATCGGATACAACCAAGAAGCAAATGGGGTGTTTCAAGTGCGGAAGAGAAGGGCATTGAGCTGTAGAATGCCGCTCAAAGGCCCCCCAGCACAACCCAGACAGATCCCCAATCAACAAACCCGGAAAATTTTCAGCTAAGCCAAAAGAAACGGCCATGAGAATGATGGAAATTGCAGAACCCCCCACTTCTGCTCACCAAGGGGAAAGAACTCCAGCCTACACCACAGGGCCGGTGGATGCCTCAGATGACAGCTCGGAGGGCGAACCCCTGGTAAGTGGACGCATCACACCCATCTTCAAAACAGTGACTATATTAATCCCCCCCATGCCCGAAGCTGTGAAGGTGAAAGCCTTAATAGACTCTGGCTGCACCCGCTGCCTCATTAGCCCAACACTAGTGGGGAATCTGGGCATCCCATCCAGGAGACTGGAACAACCAATCTCATTTGGCCAGCTAGATGGATCCATAGCAGGGGGGGTGCCAGCTACCCTAGCCACTCTGCCAATACACCTCTCCCTGGGCAACCATGAAGAGGACATAACGTTTGTGGTGACCCCAGGTATGGAATGCCCAATGATTCTAGGGATGGAATGGTTGAAAAAATGGAACCCCTGGGTAAATTGGAGGACGACAGAAATCAAATTCCCGAAGGGGGACCCTATGGACTTAAAACCCCAAGGGAGGCTACCAGAATCAAGAATAGAAAAAGCATCCATAGGAGAGGAAAAAAGATTAACAGAAATACCAGAGGAATATAGGGACCTTGCTGAAGTCTTCAGTGAGGAGAGGGCGAATGAGCTTCCCCCCCACCGACCCACAGACTGTACCATTGAATTCAAGCCTGGGGCAAAACTCCCGAAGCCCAGATTATACTCCATGAGCCCAAAGGAGAAGGAGGAAATGGAAAGATTTATAAAAAAAAATCTAGAGAGAGGTTTCATTGAGCCAGCCAAGCCTAAAGTGGCTGCCCCGGTCCTTTTTAGAAAGAAGAAGGATGGCTCTTTACGTTTATGCGTGGATTATAGGGCCCTGAATACAATCAGTGAAAGCAACCTATACCCGCTGCCCCTCATGAAAGACATGCTGTCACACCTATCGAAAGGGAAAATTTTTTCTAAACTAGACCTAAGTGAAGCTTACTATCGCGTAAGAATTAAGGAAGGGGACGAATGGAAGACTGCATTTAACTGCCCCATGGGGTGCTATCAATTCAAAGTTTTACCATTTGGATTACAAGGGGCCCTGCAATCTTTATGCAATTAATCAATGACGTTCTAAGGGAGCACCTGTTTAAGGGGGTCCTTGTTTACTTGGACGACATTCTTATCTTTACTGAAACAAAAGAAGAACACGTCAAACTTGTCAGAGCGGTTTTAAAGAAGCTGCGAGCCGCTCACCTATATGCCAAACTCTCAAAATGCGAATTCCACCAGGAAAGGATAGACTACCTAGGCTATCGCATATCCCCACAGGGCATTGAAATGGACCCAGAGAAGGTCAAAGCAGTATTAGATTGGGCGCCACCCCGCACAAGAAAGCAACTACAAAGTTTCCTGGGCTTTGCAAATTTTTACCGCCAATTCATCCCCTCATTTGCACAGATAGCCTTGCCCCTCACTAACTCACTAAAAACGAAGGGAACATCCTCAGTAAAACCTAGCCAGCCACTAACATGGACAATGGAGTGCCAAGCAGCGTTTGAGAGACTAAAGAGACTTTTTTCTGCCGAACCAGTACTAAGGCACCCAGATATGGACAAGCCCTTCATAATACAGGCAGATGCAAGTGATGTGGCAGTGGGGGCTGTGCTATTACAAGAAAATAATGATGCAGTATTGCAACCCTGTGCATATACATCCAAGAAACTCATGGAAACAGAACAGCGCTGGCCCGTATGGGAGAAGGAGGCTTATGGGATACGTTGGGCATTACTCACGTGGCGACAGTTCCTGAAAGGCAACAAAATCCCCTTCCAGGTGTGGACCGATCACAAAAATTTAGAAGCCCTGAAAACGTCCAGGAAACTCAATCCCAAACAAGTCCGCTGGTCTCAGCATTTTCACCAATTCCAGTTTAAGCTCAAACATTTACCAGGGAGAAAGAACTTCCTGGCAGATGCTCTATCTCGCATGCCTCAATATAACAGCACACGAACCACAGACTCTAGACCAATAATGGCAGAGTCACAACTGGCAGCACCAGTAACCGCAAGAACCCAAGCCAAATTAAAACCACAACTGGACAGCCAAACTGGAATTGAATTCAGAAAAAGTTTGGAAACAGATGAATGGTTCCAGAAAAACAAAAATGTGTGCACAATGAGAGACGGGTTGCCTTGGGTAGGGGAAAAGATATATATACCAACAACTCAAAGAGTAACTTTCATGCACCTTTGCCATGACACAAAATCAGCAGGGCATTTTGGATTTGTAAAAACTTTACATTTAATTAAACGGCAATTTTGGTGGCCATCCATGAAAAAGGACATTGAAAGTTATATAGCCAGTTGTCCAAAATGTGCCACGGCAAAGAGGTTGCAAGGGAAAGTGCCAGGACTATTGCAAACAGTGGCAAGTCCCTCAGCCCCCTGGAGAGAAATAGCCATGGATTGTATAGTGGAATTGCCAGAAAGCAATGGGAATACTGTGGTCTGGACGGTCACGGACTTGTTTTCCAAACAGGTGCATTTTATCCCTTGCCAAAAGATTCCCACTGCAAAAGCCTTAGCAAAACTTTTCATCCAACACATTTACAGATTGCATGGGGCAGCCCAGCGCATCATCTCTGACGGGGGTGCAATTTACGTCTGCATTTTGGAAGGAATTTTTATCCCTCTTAGGAACCACTCAGGGACTGACATCTAGCCACCACCCTCAAGGAAATGGGGGGGGCTGAAAAAATGAACTCCGTACTTAAGCAATATTTAAGATGTTTTCTTAGTTTCCAGCAGACCGAGTGGGCGGACTTACTCCCTTTTGCAGAAGTTGCCTACAATAATGCAGTCCACTCCAGCACAGGTTACACTCCTTTTCAAATAGCCACCGGTCAAAGTTTCAACCCTATGCCAGAATTAACCCCAAACGAACCAACGATCCCTTCGCTGAAAGAATGGATGGAGAAACTACAAAACACCTGGCCAATAGTCAGAAAAGCACTAGATGAAGCTAGGCAGGCATACAAAACACAAGCCGATAAAAAAAAGGGTTGAGCCTACACCATTCATTGCAGGAGAAATGGTGTACTTATCTACAAAATACCTAAAGTCCCTACAGCCCTGTAAAAAACTTGGACCAAAATATATAGGACCTTTTCCAATTAAAAGAATCATAAATCCAGTAACAGTAGAATTAGAATTACCCAAAAATCTCAGGCAAATACACCCAATTTTTCATTGCAGCTTGCTGAAAAGAGAGCATCAGTCACCTCTACGGCCAAAAATCCCCCCCCACCACCTCCACTCATGGTGGAGGGTGAACAACACTTCGAAATAAAGGAAATCCTTGATTCTAGGAGATATCATGGAGCAACTCAGTACCTAGTTGCCTGGAAACACCTCCCTCCCTCACAAAATGAGTGGGTCCATAAATGTCATGTCAGAGCCCCGAAGCTATTGAAGAAGTTTCACACAGAGTATCCTAACAAGCCTGACTAAATTTTATACTTGTTTTGTTTTCTTTCAGGTGGATCTCTCTTATTTTTAAGAGGGGCCGGATGTCAGAATCCAATTATATTTCATCTTTAATTATCAAATATAGAAACTCCCAATTCTGCCTTCTCTGGATTCTGCCATAAGAGGGAGAGAAGGGGGAGAACAAAGGGGCTTTATGGCCCTCACTTCCTTCAGTAGACTTCTAGGGAGCTGAATGCTGAATGTGTGTTTATTGTAACCTCAAAGCGTTAGCACCAAAGAACATCACCATAACAAAGAAGGGTATTTGCGTTTCATGTAGTTATCTGAAGTCTCCATCCAGACGGAAGAAAGCATCAAAGGGGTGGAATTGTGATGCCTGAAACTATCACTGGAAGGGGGGTTGATTGGGTGGGACTACTGGGGAACCCCTTAAAACCTTGAATGGGAGGGCTTGGACCCCAAGTCCTGTCTAGCACGCCTGCAACCACTTCTTCTTAATAAAGGATTCCTGTTGGAAGAATTATTCCAAGAGTTCTGTCTTCTTAAGATGCAAAGTGGGGTGGGTCCTTACATTCATCAAAATACTCCACTGTGTGGCTAGCCAGTAAAGGCCTTAAAGATGAAAGAATAATTTCATGGCCTCCTTCCTCTCTTTACCTAAACCCTATTGAGAACTTGTGGGCCCTTCTGAAATGGGAGATTTATGGTGAAGGAAAACAATGCATCTCTCTGAACAATGTCTGGGAGTCTATGCTTGCTGCTGCACAAAACGTTGATCCTCAACAGATCAAGAAACTGACAGACTCCCATGAATGGAAGGCTTATGACTGTTATTGAAAAGAAGGGTGGCTATACTGGTCACTGGGGTTTTTTTTTTTTTTTTTTGGAAATGTCAGAAATGTTTATTTGTACATTTTGAGTTGTATGTTTATTATTCTCACTTTAACAGATGCAAATAAACAAGTGAGATGGGCAAATTTTCATTTTTCATTTAGTTCCATGATAATTCTGCACACTGATAGTTGCCCAATAATTGTGCACACATAGATGTTGTCCTAAGAAAGCCAAAATCTCACTTTTAGTTTCTTAAATATTCAGGTTTGAGGTTTATTAGCATTTTGGATTGACTGAGAGCGCTGTAATTGTTCAATAAGAAAATTAATCCTCCAAAATACAACTTGCTTAATAATTGTGCCCACAGTGTATATGCCACATTAAAATCTAACTCCAGCTGGACAAAAATTCTTGACTTAATTGGCTAAATTTTTTTTGTGGCTCTAAATCGGAAGTCTCTAACCTCCATGCTGTGACCCATTCGGAATCAAGCTGCGGAAGTGATGGACATACGTGTGCTGCTCCACTGATGGAGAACCATCCCCTCACACACATACACTGCCTACGCTGCCGTCCACAAAGCTGGAAAAGTTAAGGACTGCTATTCTAAATGACTGTTAGGGGACTAAAGAAATGGTTGTTGTTAAGTATAGGGGGAAAAACACTTTAAAGTTTATCATACTAATTGCAATGAATTGGCTGGAGAAATAATTTATATTTTGGTATCAACAGAGTTCCTCAGTTAAGTTGAAGAATTACTGAAGAGCCTTGATATGCAAATAGGGAAAGTATCAGAGATAATTTGAATATAGTAGTTTTTGATATGGAAGAGCTTGGACGGTACAATCAGGGCATCATCCAACAGGACTGGGAAGCATTTCAGTTTTCAAAGCAAAAAGTTGTCTTGGCATCAGCTTGCACCTCCTTTTACCACATGAATCTTTTCCCAGGATGATGCTAATGGCCTAATTATGTTTATACCTAATTCACTGGAACTGTAATTGAATTGAAACGTTAATGTTGGTTTTGCTCATTAACAGATAAATACCTCAAGAAGACTGAAAATAATTCTACTAATCGTCTTTCAGAAGTTATTTTTGATATGGAAAAAAGCTTGGGTGATGTTTTATCTTCTATTTTAGAAACAGAACTGAAGATTGCTTTTGGAGATCTATGGATTGAGGTGAATATTTTCACTGTTCAAAAGAAATATATGTCTTCCATTTAGGGAATTCACGTATAATACATCAGTGTATCTTACACGAACTTACGTACGTTCTAACTCCAATTTTAGTTGCAATTTGGTGCAGGTAGGCATTCTGCTCCTTCTATAAGCAGAAAAGGCAAGGATATTTTTTGATATGGCTGTTTCTGCTAGCCACAAGAATGATAGGTTCTCCCTCCCCCCTTTTTTTGTGATGACAAACTCTCAAGATTATTTTCACTTTATGGCATACAGCAAATTGTTTCATATTTTTAGATAGTATATTTTATATTTAAATGCTGTTCCCTTATAGTAGGTCTTTTTGTATCAAAATTTGAAATGCATCTTGTTGGCATATTTGCCGTGTAAGCCTGTGCTAAAGTATCCTCAAGTCACTTCAAGCGCGCCTTCTGAAAGTTCTCTTAGAATGCTTCCATTTTGCAGCAGAATTTTCTGCGCATATAAACCATTGTTGCTATACAGCTTGGGGCTGTCATTCAGGATCCACTTCACAAGGTAGCACACAAGGTGGGTGCAGAATAAGAACAATTACCATCATTTATGTCAGCTCTGTCCACCACTAGAAGAATTTTTAACTGCAAGCTTGTTCTAACTGTCCAAAATACAATTCCCTAAATTAGGTATGAGTCTGGAGGAGAATAAGGAGCAGGGCCAGGCTGACAGCTTCTTTCTGACCTGTTCCTTCTTTTTTCTAAAGTAAACTCCCCTTTTCATAGGACACAGAGACATGCCCCAAGCCCTGTCACCCATCTTAGCAGTTTTGGTACAACTTGGATGCATGCACATAATTTCCATACATTACAAAACATCGTATCAGATGCTATTAATTTTTTTGAACCTCATTCCTGAGTAAGACGATACCAGAAACTCGGTCAAGGGGAGCAAATGTGCTTGGTAGTGACCATGGTTGTTGCAAAGAATTAGGAAAAAGAGAACATCAAGAAATGATGCTAGAATGCCTCACTGGAAGTCTTGGAGTTTCACATAACTCCGGGATAGCACAATTGTCATAAATACATGCCAGTTGTCAAGTGCCCAAATTTTGATCACATGGCCATTGGGATGCTGCAAAGGTCGTACGCTTTTAAAAAAAGATGTGTTTAAAAATAATTAAAATGCTATGTTCCAGCAACTGTGCGGAAATAACACCTTTGAAACCTTCATCAAAAATCTGTGTTCGTGCTTAGTGTATTTTGGATTTTAGATAATCTGAAACTTATCAAATTAGGGTGCCCATGTCTTACGTAAGCAAAATGAGCAAATCGCTTACCATCTATTACAAGTTTGCATTCTTAATGCCGGATTTGCTTATTATTTAATGCTCTTCAGATTTCCTGATTCTCCATAACTGGCAAAATTGTGCCAGCTTCTTTTAGCCATCTGTGGCAGCTGATTTAGGTCAGTATTTTTTGTTAATGACACCTTCATAGATTAAATAACATCTGAAAATTTCAGGAAGATGAATTCTATCCTCCATTACACATTTTTGTCTTTTGCATTACATGGTGTGATGGCATACAAATGTTTTGTAAAACCTTGACATTTTGTTGACCCTTCATAACTTCACAATAGTGACAAATTGAAGGGTTACAAGCTTTTGTAATATACTTTCAGGATGAAAATAAGTCCCCCTGATATAATTTGTCTTTAAAGAAGAAAATAAAGTATTAGAAGAGACTATATTGTGGTATTATTAACCCTATTCCAAAATCAAATTCTATCACTTATTTTATATGTCTGTCTGTCTCTCTGTCAGAACAGGGAGGAGTTGATACAATTACTAAGTATCCTAGCTAATGTAGGTGGCATGTTTCTAGAAAAAATATTGAAATCTGACTAGTAAATGATTTTTCTTTCCTAGGTAGTATATCATAAACCCCCTTGGACACTAGCAAATGTGTTGGAGTGTTACAAAAAACACTGGATGGCTGTTTTTGGACAGTTTATATCAAGAAGCCTTTTTTCAACTATTGAATATCTCTATGCACATCTTTGTAAAGGTAGGAGTATTTATATTAATTTGCAAAATTAGATCAAAAGGGCACAGTCATCAGTACTAAAAATGTAAAGCTTGTTTTATTTTTATTATTATTGATTATGGTTGGTTGCATAGTCTGCCAGATATCTAGTCTGGATTTCGCATTTTTATGCACCTATTGAATCCCTCCCAAGAACTTGGGATATGTGGATGTTATAATTTAACAGTATCAAAGATACTGTCACAGGATGTAAGCTGTTCCACGTAAAGTTGCCTTTTACACTTGATTGTCGATGGTTTTGTTAATGCCAGTGGTATTCAAGTGATGCTCTATATCAGAGGTCCCCAACCTTTTGAGCACCAGGGACCGGTTCCATGAAGAGAGGTTTTTCTGCTGACTGGAGGGTGCATGGTTTTGTGTGTTGCCTGCATCTTGCGGGTGGGTCTTTGCTTGTTTGTGCGGACCGGTTGCTGGCATGCCGAGGCCCAGTACTGGTCCACGGACTGGAGGTTGGGGAACCCCTGCTCTATATGTTTTGGGATTGCATCCAAGGTGCCTGTCACTATTGGTACTATCTTTGCTTCCTTTTGCCCTGGTTATTCTACTTCTATTTACAGGTGTTTGTCTTTTATCATTTTTTTCCAGTTATTTCTCTTTTCTTTTGTCTCCAGATGTTGCAATGATCACAATTCAGACTTTTTTGTCTCTCTTATTGGCAGTTATTAAGTCTGGAGTGCTTAGATATGCTTATCTATTTGAATACTAAAGTTCCAGAGTACTTTAGCTTCTTCATTTTTTATTACTTTGTCTATTTTGTGGTCTAGCCATTTGATATACTGGCCATATAATACTTTGCCTTCGTGTATCTTTTCTATTCTTCAGTTGGTCTTTTTTTAGGCCAGTTTGGACTCTTGTCTACTCAATAAGCCTTCATGGTATATTAGTTTCAATAAATCTTCTGCACTGTCTTTCAAATATTTTTCCAATGCCCTTTCTTCTTCTTCAACATTTCACACCTATCTATGCTTCTTGGTAAATAGAGCTGTCAACTTTGCTGCCTGAAAGAAGAGCATGAATCATTGTCATTATTTTTCTGGTCTTCCTGTCTAGGGTTTCTCCTTCAGCTTGAACCCAATTTATTATTCAAGTTATATATCTAATCACTGGAATTGCCCGGGTGTTAATTGCCTTGGTGGTATTTGAACTTTAAAATTATCTTCATTCTTCTGATACTAACTTTTTTTCTTGATTTCAATTGTTTCATTAGGAAAGATGCCCAGCTTTATTTGTTTGTTTGTTTGTTTTATTTTACTTTCAGCCCATCTTTCTACAAAGTGACCTATAACAGAGTTCCCAACCACTGCACTGTGGCCCACTACCAGGCTGTGGCCTATTCAGAACCGGGCCACATGAATGGCGGACCAGCATGCACATGCACGCAGCTTGACTTGCAGGAGCAGCGGGCCAGTGCACATGCACATACAACTCAACTTGTGCAAGTCGAACTGTGTGTACATGTGCTGGCCAGCTGCTCATGCAGCCCAGTTCCCCTCTCCCCCCCCCCCCGCCATCCAAGCTGCCAAGCTACAAAGGTTGGGACCACTGACCTATAAAAGCGGCAACACTGTAATAACAAGAATACAAAATTATGATTAAAAAAATACAAAATCATAATTAAAACATGAGAAGGGAAGGAGCAAGATGCACAGGGAGATGAGATTTACTATTAGTCCATCAACTACCTCCAGCATGGTAGTTCCCCCCTTGGGCCGCCGGGCCAGTTGGCAGAGTCAGGTGTTCAGGCTCTTGTGGAAGGTCAGGAGGGGGAGAGCAAGCTCACCTCAAGAGGTTCTAAAAGGCCAGGACCACAGCAGAAAAGGCTCTTCTCCTGGACCCTGCCAGCAGGAATTCCTTGACTGACAGGATCCACACTATGCCTTCTCTACTTGTATGAATGAAATGGGCCTGTCCCATATACCTGAGACAATTCTTCAAGGAACCTGGACACATAAAGCCATGCAAAACTTTGCAGGTAATAACCAACACCTTGAATTGTACCCAGAAGGAGACTGGAAGCCAGTGCAGTAACATGGGCCATTCTAGGGTTCCCAAAGACTGTCCATGCCACTGCACGGACAGTTGAAGCTTCTAAATGCTTTTCAAGGGTAGCCCCATCTACAGCACATTACAGTCGTCCAAGTCTGAGATGACCAGGGCTTGAATGACTGAGTGCAGGGACTCCTGATCCAGAAAATTTTGACTTATCTTCATTGAGACTCTTATTTCCATAAGGCATCTTGATTCCTTCGGTTTTCACAATTTTTTCCCCTGTTGGTGGTAAGGGTGGCATGTTTGCCAGTCCAAACTCCACTGCAGTATCTTGGCTGTATATATAGATGGTGTCGAGCTACAACTCTACTCCAGATGGTGTTTTTCCATACAGCTTGAGATCATCCATGTAAAGAAGATAGGATAGCCTGGTAAATGTTTTTGATGTTCGATAGCCATGGCTTGGCCTGTTCAATATTGTTGACAGTGGAATCAATGCAATGACAAACAGTAGAGGTGAAAGTGAGTCTTTTTGAAAGATGCCTCTGTTGAAGTTAACTTCTCTCAGTCCATCACCATTAACCTGCAACTGTGTCTTCTATTGTGCTATTGATCCTTGCACAAGGCTTCTGATGTTTCTACTGATTTCTGTTATTTCTTGGCACTTGAGTACCCACCTAGTCATGTGGCATGGAATAGAATGCCTTCTAAAAATCAGTCCAGACTACATTCAAGCTAGTCTTCTCTTACAGTTTTCCAAAGTCATCTTGTCAATTGGGAGTTTATCTTGTGTCTCTCTGCTATTTAGGGGGTTTCTTTTCTGTTCAGATAGAAAGAGCTTGTTTACAACTAGATGCTGTTGGACTGTTGTTAAGCAGGAATTGGCTAGATGCCTGGCACTGCCCCCTTTTGTTGTATCTTTCATTATCAAATAGATTTTGCCATATGTTAACTGGTCTTCAATTTTACTTCCTTACAATATGTTGTTAAAATACTTGACAATGAGTGTGTGCAGACCAGTCAGATATTTCAAGCAAAAGCCATACAGTTCATCTTCACCTGGTGCTGACCAATTCTTGATCTTCCTTGCCCTTTTCTCTGCTGTTTCTGCTGATATTACAATATTATTATGTTATGATGGCTTCCTTTGGCAATGCCATGGAACTCTGTCTTTCTTTTTCGCCTCCTTCCTCCTCTTCTTCTTCTCCTCCTCTACCATTTTGTATAACTCAAAACAGAGCAATAGAAATTAATCCAGTTTTAAGCCTTGTAATTGTTCATCTCATAGTATATGTTCTTAGGAATTTATTAATAAAGTAGCCAAGATTTCAGAACTCAACAACATTTTTTTCTGCTTCCTGTCTCAGGTAAAATAATTGAATATTCAACACTAAGAGATGTCCTCCAGGAATCAAAAATGTTATTGGAAATGTTCAGTTCAAGATCCACCTATGATGGTTTTCTTTCACGGGCTTTAGCTCAAGTGGAAAAATTACTCAAGACTGTTGAAGAGGTAACCCAGCCTAGGTTTTAATAAGCATAGTTCCTTTTAAGTGCATAAGCCTGATTACAAGATTGATAGCATTCACATTTATCATCATTCAGAGAAAAAAGTTAGTTGTGTCTGAACTGTTTCCTTTTAAGTGGAAATTAATATTGCATTTGCAGTGGATAAAACAAAAATAAATTTCACTGCTGAATAAAAAGGATTGGCTTCTCTAACAGCAGTGATGTACAAATTGTGAAGATATGGGAGGAGGCCATCTTGGAACCTTCAGGCATAGAAGTCCTTAGGCCAGGGGTAGGCAACCTTGGCTCTTTTATGACTTGTGGACTTTAACTCCCAGAATTCCTGAGCCAGCACAGTCTACGAGTCATAAAAGAGCCAAGGTTGCCTACCCTTGCCTTAGGCTCTGACTCCTATTGCTTCATGCCTTCTAGGTTCCCAACAGAAGACAGATTGGAATAACAGCATGGAGGGAGGGAGGGAAGGAAGAGACACAGATGCTTCTAGTATACATCTTCCCTTCTACTTCCATACCTACCATGTTTTACTGAAAATAAGACCCAGTCTTATATATTTTTTTTTGCCTCCAAAAGAGGCACCAGGTCTTATTTTCGGGAGATGTCTTATCTTAGGATCCCTACAACCAGGCCTCCCACACCCTGACACCTATTGCGCTGCTGCCTAGTGCGACAGAAGGCCATGAGGCTCAGCGCACTGATTGTGCTCACAAGCGGCGGCGGCGGCAGGATTGGCTCAGTGAGCCTCACAGCATCCTGCTATGAGTGGTGGCACCAGCATGAGCAGAAGCACTGACACAATTGGCGCGACGAGTCCTGCGGGCGGCGGCACCGGCGCAATACGCCAAGTGGTGGCAGAAGAACTCAGGCAGCGACGCAACAGTTGTCGGGGCATGGAAGGCCTGGCTGCAGCAGTCCTAAGGTAAGAGGGTGCAGGGTGCATGTGGCAGCTCCAACCCCTCCCTCTGCCCTAGCTTGATTTTTACACATGTGCCTTGCATGGGCTTATATTGGGTGCACGTGTAAAAATCAAGCTAGAGTTTATTTTCGAGATAGGTGTTATTTACAGGTAGACACGGTAAGTAAAGTATCACTTATGGCAGCACACCACCACCCCTATCAATCTTTTCTTCTTCCTTTCTTCAATTAGATAGCCTATTGACTTCTCTTCTACTCTCTAGTGTCTTCTTTCTCTTCTTGCCTCTTGCCCTGGTTGTGAATAATATATGAAAAGAGAAAAGCAACCAAATTTAGAGTCGTTCTGATGGAAAGTATATTCTGAATGGGAGCAGGAGAAGAAACTCCCTCTAAATTTAAGAGTCGAGTAAGGGAAGAAAGGATATCTGAGAGGGGAGAGAGAAAAATATTTTTATATTGCATCTGCTACTATCATGAGAAAACTAGCTTCCTCTCAACCATAATTGCTTCGGCCAGAGAGCGGTAGGCACCTAAATTATCTTTCCTCCAAATCACTACCAAGGTATATGTGGTAAAGAGTTCTTTATTTGGAAATATTTACAGGAGATATTTTCAGATATCTCGAGGAGAGCTCTATTATTGTGTTCCTGGAAATAGAGCATGTGGAAAAGCTTCCATAGTAAGCAAGGGCCTGGCTAGAAAATATTCAGTTTTAGAAAATCACTATTGTGAGTTTATAAATTTATCTTTAGGATAATATTTGAAAATATTTGCTATTACTATTTTTTTTTCCTCTGTTAAGTTTTATTATTTTTAGATTTTAAATTGCATTGTGAACTGCCCATGTATAATTTATGAAATTATATATAAATACTTCAGATAACCAGCGAAGAAAGTGAATTATATCTTTTTTGTGAAAGCAGGGGGAAACAAAAGTTATCTTGGGTTTTGGCATTCCTCAAGTTGACTCTTCTTACTGCTTCTTTGTTGTGTTTTCTTAAGATGGAGTCAAGTACAGGAGAAAATTCTAAAGATACCCGGAAATCTAATTTGGGAAATGATACATATGAAAAAATGGAAGACGTGATTTTGTCAGAACACACTCAGACAGGAGATAAGTCTCCATTAACAAAGTGTTCAGCACAAGAAAACAGGCACATGGAAATTTGGTCTGTCCTTGAAAGTGTATGGAACAGAATCAATGTGTTCAGGTACTGTTTGCTAAAACAAATATTTACTAAAACAATATTCAACCCCAAATCAGTATGCTTTTAAATAAAGTCTAATATAAAACTTTCCTTACAGGATTTAAAAAGTTCATGTGTGTTATGTCTTCTTGCAAACATGCTCCACTGTTGAGCATGAATTGTGAATTCTTTTTGGGGGGGGGGTGGAAACCTGCCTAATATTTTCTTGTGTAATTTAGTAAAGTGCTAGATACTGGAATGGCGCTGTATCAATAATATTTCTGCATATAGTGTTGCCACCAATAGGCTGCATATTGACTCATGTAATATTAACTAGTTTTACAAACCAGCTTGAAAGCAGCAGCTTCCTTGTGAGTAAGTCTCTGGACCAGAGTATGAGCGTCTGCAGGCTCAGGACCTACTAAGCATAAAGGCTGTTCTCAAAAAGGGGCAAGTGTGGGGGTGGATTGGAGAAGATGGTTGAAGGATATGCCAGAGAATGACAAAAATCATCTTACAGAGAAAATACTTGCTAGATTACCCTTATTAGGGCCCTGTGTACCAAGCCCCTCATTCTTCTGAATTGACTAGGACTCAGTTCATTACCCAGGCAGATAAGGGAGCTGGTTCCTCATGCTGGAAAGCCTTTCTTAGAAAGGGGCCGGTGACTTCTCAACTAAGGAGTTTTGCTTATATGTTCACAGATGAGTCTAAAACCACTGCTTCCATGGTTAGATTTTTTGAGTTTTACTTTGAATTTTGGGTTTGGACTGCTGAAACTTTAAATTCTCTCTCTTTTTTTTTCAGTCCCTGTCCCTGACTATCAGGGGACTGGGAAGTATAAACTTCAGCAGGTCCTTTACATGTTGGAGAGTTCAGTATTTGCTTTCTGGTACTGTCCACCCCACTGTTTTTGTGTTTCTGTCCTGTGTATCTGGTCCAACTCATTGCTTATAAGGGTCTCTGCCACAAAATTGCTATTTAATTATTGGAAAGAGTGGTTTGATTTTCTCTCAATTTGCAAATGATTTCACACATAATGAATTGGTCATTCCAAGAACGTCCATGGTTATTTTTTTCCTTTTTAACCAGCCATTGGGTGCTTTTCCCCACTTATATCTACTATAGCAGGGGTCCCCAACCCCTGTTCCGTGGACTGGTACTGGGCCACGGCATACCAGCAACCGTCCGCAGGATGCAGGCAGCACACAAAACCATGCCCCCTCCAGTGCGCGGAAAAATCTCTCTCCACATAACTGGTCCCTGGCGCCCAAAAGGTTGGGGACCTCTGTACTATAGCATAAATGTGCCCTAGCAATATGACACCATTAAAATATTTGCCTTCCCCTAGATATCTTAAATCTCAAAGTATATAATATCTTTTAGGCCTTGTCACTTAATATTTTGGAGGGAAGTCTATTGACTGCTGCGGTTTAGACAGAGGTGATAGTGTTGGGTTAGAGATCATCAGTTAGGAACAAATCTCATGTCTGTATAGTTTTTGGCAAATTTGATGGGATTGGATTGCAATGGGGGAAAATGAATCCATGTTAATTTGTAATTAATTTTTTAACATTATTCTTTTTTTTTTTAGTTTTGAAATTTTCCAAAAAGTAGACCTTAGTGCAATACCCCCAACTTCGAATATGTCTTCCTTTCAAGAAGCTTTTATGGGTCTGCACAAATTAATGAGCACAGTGAATGAAATTCTTGCTGGAATTCAGCAGTGAGTATGCATGAATTGAACAGCGTGTGTGTGGCTCTGATATAACCTAGTGTTTTCTCAGCCATTTGAAAAACAGGAATAGCCACAAGAGAGCAGTAACTGATTACATAATGAATGTGAAGCAACAGTGGGGATTTTTAGAATTCTCTAGATTCTAGAGACAATAGCCAAGGGCCTTAGGTTGCCCATTTTTGATACGGTGACACTCTCATAAGGCAAGATGTTATATAACAGGGCCGCTAAACACAAGTTTTACATATCAAGTTGAATAGCATGTGATGTATCCTGTACTTGTTCTCTTGACTCTACTTATTTTCTATACTTACTGCCATGTAAACATGCTACATGATTCTGGGATTCATATACAGGCTCCAGGAATGTATTCTTGAGATAGGGAATCCTGGGAAACTCAGAAACCTGGTTCACTGCTATTAAATATCACAGGAATACATTCACTTCAGTTAGAAAGCTGATCATACTTAGACAATGAGTGATGTTCCTATAAATCTTGCCAAGCTGCATGTGTGGCCTGAAACCAATCAGGTAGGGCAGATCTCAGTTTCTTCTAAAGTGTTCATGGTATCCTTCAGCTATCTCAATAGTTCAGGCTCAGATATCTTGGTAGCCCGGCTGGGGGTGGTGGAGAGGGGAACCTGGCTGCATGTGCTGCTGGCCAGCGTATGCTCATGCAGCTTGACTTGCACAAGGCCTACTGCTCGAGCAAGTGGAGCTGCGCACATGTGCGAAACGGTCTGTTGCTAATGCGGCCCTGTTCCAAATAAGCCACGGCCCAATAGTGGGCCATAATACAGGGGTTGGGAACCCCTGATCTACTATATGTGTGGCTTTCTCCTTCCCTTGTAATTTTGGGAGGTGGCATCTTGGAATTGTCTACTACTTTCCGCAATTGTTTACAACTCTTAGACATTTCTGAGGAGTTTCCATAATGCCAGTCTGGTTTCCTGGGCTTCATCTCTCAGCCCAGCCATTTTTGCAATCCAACCTACCTTTCTTTAGCATCCTGATTTGCTTTCAGATGTCTTAGTTATGGGGTCTTCCTCCAATCTTAGGCAAAAGAAATTCCTGTATGTTTTTCTTTCTGGTTGGATTACAGTGGTAAATGTTACTTAAGATAGGTTTATAGCTTTTAAGGAATTAGTTCTTAAAGAGCAATTCAGGACTGGTTGTTGTAACCAACTCCTGTCTTTCCATCAGCTATTTCCTAAATCCTTTTTTTTTTTTTAATCCAAACAGCCAACTGCTTTTTAGCTTCCCTCGTTTCAGGATTGACCAGCCTCCTACAATAGAAATAGTGCTTAATTACTAAACAGACTATCCAGTAGCCTGAGTCAAGTTCAGTTTGTGGTTTGGTGTCCTCAAGTAGGACACAAACAATTAGAGAGAGTCATTATGAAAACAAAATTGACTAGCTTTGTACTGGGAGACTGAGACCACGCTGGGCTGTGCTACTAAATTTGCCTTCAATGCCATCTAGTGGCCAATGGTGGATCACATAGTCTGACATATAATAAAAGTGATATATATTTTTTTCTTGTCCAACAGAAGCAGAGTAAGGGTATACAGTATGAATATTTCCAAAGTTACCTTTTCACCTGCTGATTAATGTTTTGTAGGAACAGGGCAGGTTTTAGAATCTAAACTGCATATTAAAATCTATTTAAAATTGTCAGGAAGGGGGGTAGGCTATAACATTTTTAACATTCATGTTTTGAAAATCCTTTAATTGTCTATCTCTGTTTCTTTTTTCTAGAGTCTTAGTGCCCAATAGTAGCTTTCAAGATGTCTGGGCTTTGTATAAATTCTTAACTAATAATGAGGTGGGTTATTTAACTTTCAGGTATTTGGTATGTTTGTTATTATCAAATTATCTATGACAAAAAAGACATAAATTTTGGCTAAAGATTTTAAAACAGTCTGGTACATATTTTAAAAAAAATAAGGTTTATGTGTGTACTTTGAAAAGATCTACAAAATTATTTAAATGCACTTCACTATATCTACATGTTATAAATTTATCTTACAGCAGTAGCCTGTTGCATTGTAGTCTAATAAAAGTGCCATTTTGGTTATCAAGTCATAAATTGGTCAAGGTTGGTAACTCACTGGCTATATAAAGTACTCTCAAATTTGACAAGACAAAATTATTAATTGATGGGGAGGGTTAAGCAGCAAAATAAGTACTTTTAATATGCACAACTTTCAGCACCCATTTTGCTCTGAATGATTAAATTCCCCTCTTATGACATCATAACATGGAAGGTTACACTCTGTGTTCAGATGAGGTCTTAAAAAATGTTCTCCCCCTCCCAATGTCCCTTGAGTACAAAAGAGTTGCTCTAGTTCAGACATGTCAAACTCACAATGTCGCGTGACGTATTGGAGCTTTTCCCCCATTGTTGTCAATGGGGTGGGCACGGTTTTGTTGTGGTGCGTCCGGCCCATGGGCCGGCAGTTTGGAACCCCTGCTCTAGTTCAAACAGCAAAAACATATGGGGAGTGTGACATAGTAACTAATGGAATGCATGTTTTGCTTAGCACTGATTTACTAGCCAAAACTGTAGGAGAAGAGCAGGCAGAGTTAAACATGTCATCAATATAGAGTCTTTGCATTGCTACAAACAATCCAAGTCGACCATTCCTTGAATTCCATTGACCCTTATCTAGTGCCAATTTAGTGCTGACTGTTTCTAGATTAGATTCTTGTGTTATAGGCTTGAATAAATCTTCTGTGTTGCAACTTAACTTATGGCCCTGATCCTTCACACCTGACAAAAGCTTACATCCCACAATCTTGATTAAGCCATTCTTTTCCCACTGCAAACAACATTTGCACATGAATTAAGATTATCAGAAAGGGGAAGAAGCTTCTTGAATGAGAAGCAAAATGTCTTCAAAGACAAAAAAAGAAAGCCCAGTTGCCTCATGACAAAGTACCTTTGGGGCAAAAAGGGGAAGCTTTCTCAAACTCTCAGGGTTCACTAAAGTTGTCTTCCATCAAAATCTTTTGCTGCAGATGTTGCTCTCTACAATGTTAATCTGTGGGCCAATTCATAAGAGTTAATTTAAAAAAAAAATCTGAAGCTTTTATTTGCTTTTATTACGGCAATAAATAATTCCCGGTATATAACATTAGTATTTGATAATTAATGAATTTTCCTACATTAATGAGTTGGTGTTTTTTTTAAATTCATAGGTAAATAATAGTACAAAATTTACTGCTGAGGAACTCTATGATTGTATTTCCCAAGAATTATACAGGTAAGCTTTTTTTTTTTTAAAGAAACAAAAATAAAGTTATACCAAGTGTTTTTCATAACCTTCCTATGCAATAGTCTATGCAAAATCTGTTTTTTTTAATCCTAAGACTTAGAGGTCAGGTGGCATTTTAACAAAAATTTATAAGGCTATAATTAAATATGAATATCACATACTCCTGAGAGTACCTGTTGCTTGCTTGCTTGTTTGTTTGTTTATTTATATAAATTTCCCAAGACTGTTTCAGAGAAATAATCAATTTGTGATGCTTATCAAATAATCTGATTCCTTTTCAGGTTCTTGATGGTATATTGGCCAAAATGAGCAAACAAATAGCTATTTTTTTTTCTTTGCAGCTGCTTTGGAGCACTACAAGTAGCCTTGGCATACGACTGTAATGGAGCCTACTTCACAGTCGTTAAGCGAATGCCATGGGCAATAAGCAAACCCCTTGGTGTTAAGTGAACATGGGTATTAAGCAAATGGCACAATTTTGCCAAAAAAACCAAACAATGCTGGTTTTTAGCAAAACAGTTGTAGAATGCTGTCATGTGACTGCAGGATGCTGCAAATGGCCATAAATGTGGCCATGATGCTAAGTACCCGAAATTTGGTCACATGACAGTGAAGAGCGCCCAGCTATCCGAACGACAAATCCAGGTTGTAATCCCCCTTTTTTGGATGGATCGTAAGTTTGAATGGTAGCTAAGCAATCAGTTATAAGGTGAGGACTACCTGTTAAAAATTTAAATATTAAATCATTAAGAGAGAAAAAAAGTATCAGTGTAGCTTGAAGAAAGTAAATATATTAGGGAGAATATTTTTCTTTCAAATTATTTGTTCAACTTCATCAGATCAAATACAACAATAAACAACCCATAATTAAAACATAGCAAATAGGGAAACCTTCCAAAAATATATAAAAATAGAGAATGAAATCAAATCAGCACAGCATGTTTCAGACCATGAGGCTTTACATGACACTCTGTGTTAGCAATTGTCAGATGGTACCTTTTTAAATTAAAATGCTCCTAAAAGTTATTGTTTCAATATTAGAAACCCCAAAGGTAAAAAGGATATGTGTACACTATGCATATGTCACTTTTTCGGGTTTCATGGTGCCTTGAGATCTTTATATTAGGGAAGGCTGATTTTTTGCTAGTGCTCTTTTCTAAAGTACCTCGCAGAATTTCCTTATATAGATAAAATTGATGCATATTTTGGGCAGCCAAGGTAATTAATCAATTAATTTCATCCTAAAATGTAATTATTTTCTTAATCATGTCTGAAATCAGCTTTGAGGATTCTGGGCAGAAATCAAGTACAGTCATATACTGTCATTATTGAATGAATCTCTCCCATATTTTCATCAGTCGTTTGGTTACAGGATACCGTAGATAATTATCTAGCTTAATTTGATGGCATATCTGCAGGGCTGAATCTTGATACTTACTGAGATGAAGTTCAGGAGAAATAATTGTTTTGTCCAGGACAGAATTATTCAATAGCAACTTCCAGATTCTGGGATAATTTTAAATCTGTCATTGGTTTATAATTTTGTTCTAATAATCACTGGAATGTAGCAGAGACTGTCCCCTACGTCTTATAGTGATTTTTATATTGATCACATGAATGAATATGCTAAGGTAGTTTCATATATTAGGAAAACTGAAAGGTAGGTAGTATTTGTGAAATTGTCATTCACCTGACATAAAGAGATTGGTTTTCCATTGATGGAAAAAGTGACTTTTTGAAGGGAAGTGAGAGTGTATCAAATGAAAGAACTAGAAGTTTAACCCACTTTCTAGACAAGAAGTCCTTTAAAAATGGATTGAAATCCCCTTTTAACATTATTAAATCACGTTGTACGCATGCATTTAGTTAAGGTAAAGTAGTATCACATCTAAAAGACTATGAATTACTTCCTGTTCTAGAAGGATCACTTCTGAAAAATTAGCAGTCTAAAATCTATGAGATGCATTCTGAGAGAGAAAAAAGGTGGGGATGTGTTATTTTTGGAGAAGGAAGCATGTAGAAATAATGGCTCATTGGTGAGATTTGCATTTTTATATGCCCAGATGTACATTTCTACATAATCTTTCAAAGCTAGAGATGGAATGCTAAACGGATGTCAACATAATTAAAAAAGGAAAGATACCATGAGACCCATATAATAGTGTATCTAATATATCTTGTCATTATTGCTTACTTTACATATATCTTTAAATTACTTTAACTATGAGGAATTCCAATTCCAAAGCATATTGGATCTACACGATGCAATGCATTTAAGCATGATTTCCTTGTTTCAATATTCATTTACATGATAATAAATTTTAAAGAACCTAGCAAAAAGTCATCTTAAATGTTAGCTCCTCCCCAAAAACATATATTGTGGTAACTAATAGCCACCGATAAAGACCAATTAATTATGCAAAATAGTAAGACAGCCTAGATTAAAATTTATCTCCCCAGCAAACTGGAAGCCTGCTGAAATGGTAACTAAGAGGGAATGCAAAACCCTGAGTACTGCCCTGTAAATCCTTTTCCTATATCTTCGCTCGATGCACTGCAGAAGTTGGCAAGATCTATAGAATAAGGTTTCTTGAAAGATGTGGATAGCTTCCTATTGAAAGTGGTATTCCTCAAGGTAACATGCTTAGAGCATTAAAGGCTATAAAGAGTACTTTAAATCAATACTCACAATGGAAGCTAGTGCAACCCTTAGAAGAAAAGAATCTTGTGCATTTTGAAAAGCTGCTACAGAAAGTCGTAACAGAGGAGATTGGGCTAGGCTTAGTAAATTGCATTTTTCTCGTTTTCTCATTTCCTCCCCAGAGCACGGTTATCAGTCGGATGCGGCCAACTAATTCAACTGGAACATACTGTTAGACAGTGCTATGAATCGGTCCTTTTGGAAATCAAAAACAGAGGATGGCTCTAAATCCTTCAATTAACTGAAACATTTGAAAGACTGGTTTTCTTCTCTCCAAACAAAACAAACTTATGACTCAGCTACCTAAAAGTTTAAACCTCTGTAATTTATTGGTCTTCCTTGCTGTTTTTAGCAACTTTGTTTGAAGATCACACTTAAAGAAACATTAATCCATGGTTTGGCCTTATTTGTATATGTTTATGTGTGTGTGTGTGTGTGTGTGTGTGTGTGTGTGTGTGTGTGTGTGTGTTTCCACTTCCTGGAAGAAAACACAGAACTGGGACCATGGTGAAGGGATTTTTAAATCTTCCTGACAATATTAGTTTTTACTCCTTATGTAAATTACTGCTTTGGAGATGGAATATTTTTTTAAATCTTTATATTACCCATTCCCAGAGCAATATTCTAATGACAATGACATAGCTCTATCCCTCTCCTTGCCCAGCATATCATAACTTCAAGTTGAATTGTGCAGACTTTTTGATCATGAAGCTTGCAGATGCAGTTATGTATATTTTATTAGCCCATTCCCTGCAAACAGTCTCAATACATAATGCCCATCTGTCTGCTTTTCTTGACCTACTGAACTTGTAGCTGTCATAATTACAGTTTCTTGAAATCCCCTCTTCCTTCCAGCTCAACCACCTCACTCAAAACTGCAGAATGTAGATATCAAATGCCATGGTATCTTCTTTGGCTGTGGAAACTATGGAACAATACAGCACTGGTCAAGAGACAGGGAGAAGGAAAACAGGTGATCTCAGTGGATACTCATGGCAAGCTGAACCAAAACTCTGGCTTGCATTCCTCTCTCCTCCATTGTAAGATTCTTATATTGGGAAAGCATGGAATTCTTGTGGCCAATTTATCGTCATCCACTCAGCATAACTAATTATCCAAATAATTGTTGTGCATTTGTGTGAAAAGATACATGCCCAGGAATCCTGGTGAATGTGCAAAAGATTCTGTTGTGTCACCCAGAATAAACTAGGATTATATAACCAAGCATTTTTGCTATTTTTACAAGAGCAAAGTTCCTACCTGACTGGAAACCAACTTTGTATGCTAACTGGGGACAAAGTTTCAGGGTTGTAGAGGGGGACGTATTTAATTTGTGCATGTCTCTTTTTACAGTAAAAATGTTTTAAATCTGTTTGCTATTTATTGATGTATTCTGTTGTTACTTTTTCACTGGTACCATCTGACATGTTTTAATGGAAGGAGATTCCATACTATTAAAGATTCATTTCAAACATTTTAATTTCAATTTTAGATTAAAAAAAATGTTTCATCCTATCTATTGACTTGACATCCTCTGTGCATGAAGACATTGCAAGGAAGAGGGAATAGTAGGTCCATGCATCTGATTGTTTCATTTGAGAGCCCATTTAGGGTTATGTGCTCAGAACTTATGTTATGCAAATAAGTTACAGTTATCTCCTTAATTTCTGTAGAGCTAAACATTATCATTCTAGAAATGTTTAATTACAGTTGGATTCCTATGCTGATATTTCAGAGCATCCATTACATATAATTTGGATTAGACATTGATTAGACAGAGTATCCATTACATATAATTTTGATTAGACATTGATTAATTTGGATTAGACATCCATATAATTTGGATTAGACATTTCATTGGAGAACTAACGATTGGTAAACGGAAGTAATTAAAGACTTGAGGCTTATTTACAATAATTTAATATAGTTTATAATATCTGGAATTATATGGTTGGAATAGTCAGGAGGAACAGGAACTGGGGAACCAATTCCACTTGGTGAGGAAATCCTAAAGATAGTTTTTGAAAGCAATAATCCCAATTATCTAAATACACCAGGCTATATAGATTGAAATAATATCCTAGACATGTAAAAAATAACTGTATTGTATACATATTAGGACTTAGTGCCTTTCATAATAATAATAATAATAATAATAATGTTGGAAGGGATCTTGGAGGTCATCTAGTCCAACCCCCTGCTTAGGCAGGAAACCCTATACCATTTCGGACAAATGGCTGTCCAGTCTCTTCTTAAAAACTTCCAGCGTTGGAGCATTCACCGCTTCTGGAGGCAGGTTGTTCCACTGGTTAATTGTTCTAATTGTCAGGAAGTTCCCCCTTAGTTCTAGGTTGCTTCTCTCCTTGATTAGTTTCCATCCGTTGCTTCTTGTCCTGCCTTCAGGTGCCTTGGAAAATAGCTTGACTCCCTCTTCTTTGTGGCAGCCCCCGAGATATTGGAATACTGCTATCATGTCCCCCCTCGTCCTTCTCTTCATTAAACTAGACATACCCAATTCCATCAGCCTTTCCTTATATGTTTTAGCCTCCAGTCCCCTAATCATCTTTGTTGCTCTTCTCTGTACTCTTTCTAGAGTCTCAACATCTTTTTTACATTGTGGTGACCAAAACTGAATGCAGTATTCCAAGTGTGGCCTTACCAAGGCAATGTAAAGTATTAATACTTCACGTGATCTTGATTCTATCTTTCTGTTAATACAGCCCAGCACTGTGTTGGCCTTTTTGGCAGCTGTAGCACACTGCTGGCTCATATTTAAGTGATTGTCCACTAGGACTCCAAGGTCTCTCTCACAGTTACTACTATTGAGCAAGGTACCCCCTATACTATACCTGTACATTTGGTTTTTCTTGCTTAAAGGTAGAAGCTTACTTTTTTCACCATTGAATTTCATTTTGTTAGTTAGTGCCCAGTGTTCAAGTCTGTCCAAATCCTCCTGTATCCTAAGCCTGTCTTCTGGAGTGTTGGCTATTCCTGCCAGCTTGGTGTCATCTGCAAATTTGATGATTTCCCCATCTATCCCCTTGTCCAAATCATTGATGAAGATGTTGAAGAGCACTGGGCCCAGAACAGAGCCTTGGGGCATCCTGCTAGACACTTCGCTCCATATAGATGCGGTTCCATTGAGGACCACACGCTGAGTACGGCCCGTCAGCCAGCTACGGATCCATCTGGTGGTGATGCTGTCTAACCCATATTTTTCTATCTTATCAAGTAGTAGGTTGTTATCTACTTTATCAAATGCCTTACTAAAGTCCAAATAAATTATATCCACAGCATTCCTCTGATCCACTAATTTTATCACTTGGTCAAATAATGCAATAAGATTTGTCTGGCATGATCTGTTTTTGACAAACCCATGTTGGCTTTTAGTAATGACTTTGTTTGCCTCTAGGTATTCGTTGATTTGTTGTTTGATTATCTTTTCCAGAATCTTCCCAGGTATTGAGGTCAGGCTGATAGGTCTATAATTCCCATTGGCTCAACCAGCACGGCCCACAGTCAAGAACTATCAGGGCTGTAATCAAAGTATTAGAAAGGCAGTATCTTGAGCAGCAACAATTATCAAAAACCTGTATTATTGAGTACAACAATATGAAGGGCCATATAAAACCCCCATTTCTCATTCTACCTGGATTGATCCTACCACTAGATCTGACCATGTTGGAATTACAACATATATTTACAAAAGATTAATTGATCTATTTTTATAAGCATAGAAAGGTATAATAAGTATATTGAAATTTTCAGAATAAGTTTTAGATTTAATTGCCTGATCATATATTCACATAGTGGTTTAAGATTGACTGTGGATAATTTCTAGGAATGAGATCCAAATTTAAATTATGTTAAACCTAGAATTAACATTGTTATAAAATCACTGGATAACGTTAGAACATTTTCCTACGTAATTCCTCCACTTAAAACCATTTATTCCATCCACTTGAAACACTGTTGAATTTTTTTTAATATTAGAATTTTAGTTTTAAGCCCAGAGTGTCATACATTCAGAAAGTATTTAGACCCCCTTCACTTTAAGTCAATTTTGTTATACTGCTGACTGATTCTACAGTTATTGAATTTTTTTTCTCATTAATCTACACTCAGTAGCCCTTAATGACAAAATGAAAACAAAATTTTAGAAATGTCGGTGAATTTATTAAAAAGAAAAAAGTGAAATATCACATTGGCATAAGTATTCAGACTCTTTGCAACAAGACTTGAAATTCAGTTCCAGTGCCTCCCATTTCTCTTGATCATTGCTGACATGTTTCTATACCTTGATTGGAGTCCACCTGTGGTAAACTGATTGGACATGATTGAAAGATACATACTTCTCTGTAGAAGGCCTCATAGCTCACAATGCATACTGTAACAGAGCAAAAGCCATGAGATCAAAGGAACTGCCTACAGAACTGAGACACATCTAGGGAAGGCTACAATAAAATTTCTGCTGCATTGAAGGTTCCTAAGAGCACAGTGGCCTCCATAATTCTCAAATGGAAGAAGTTTGGCACAACCAGGATTCTTCCAAGAGCTGGTCGCCTGTCAAACTGAGCAATTGGAGAAAGGCCTTAGTAAGAGAGGTGACCAAGACCTCGGTTGTCATTCTGATTGAGCTTCACAGATCCTGTGTGGAGATGTGACAGAGTTTCAGAAGGATAACCATCATTGCAGCCCTCCACCGAGCAGAGTGACTAAATTAAAGCCTCTCCTCAGTGCAAAATACATGAAAGCCTCTTGGAGTTTGCAAAAAAGCACCTGAAGGATTTTGAGACCAAGGAACAAGATTATCTGATCTGATGAAACCAAGATTGAACTATTAGGCCTCAATTCTAAATGTCATGTCTGGAGAAAACCAGGCACCACTCATCGCCTGCCCAATATCCCAACAGTGAAGCGTGGTGGCAGCATCATGCTGTAGGTATGTTTTTTGGAAGCAGGGACGGACAGCAGGGTCAGGGTTGAGGGAAAGCTGAATGGAGCAAAGTACAGGGATATTCTCCGTGAACACCTGTGCAACAGTGCTCAGGACCTCAGACTGGACAGAAGGTTCACTTTCCAACATGACAATGATCCTTTGTCCATCGAACACAGCCAAGACAACACAGAAATGGCTTAAGAACAAGTCTGTGAATGTCCTAGAATGGCCCAGCAAGAGCCCTGACTTGAATCCTATTGAACATCTCTGGAGTTCAGACCAATGCAGAATAGCAGCAGAAGACAATGCATCACCTTGGTACACGCATTGGTATCAATAACATTATTTATTTGGTGTGTCTGTAAGCCATGTATTGCATTTATATTGTTTTCACTTTTTTATTTGTGATTTATATGCATGTGTGTTAGTGTGTATCCAAGAGGGGGGAAATCTTTAAATGTCACCTAATGTGATAACTTTAGTTATTTGGTGTATTTGTATGCCAAAGTATTGCATTGCTATTATTATTGGGGATTTTTAGAGAAAGATATTGAAACTGAAATTGCCAACATACTGCCTTTTATGAACATTTTTTTATTAAATACATTACAGGTATTTCTACATAAATATGGAGCTGAAAGATGACCAAGAAGGGATCCAATTGTCAATCAAAATAATCAAAGACTTAAAGAAAGAACATTATTTTGATAATTTGTTAACAGCTTATGGATCCTCAGTATCTTAGTAGACAACAGGAGTGTTTTGGTATTCTGTTGTTTCATTTTCTCAGCAATTTAGTAATGCAATTTTTACAAATGTTTTACTAGTATTTAAGGCACTAGGGCCCAGGGGTAGGCAACCTTGGCTCTTTTATGACTCATGGACTTCAACTCCCAGAATTCCTGAACCAGAGAGTTGAAGTCCATGAGTCATAAAAGAGCCAAGGTTGCCTACCCCTGCACTGGGCTATAAAATGAGAAGTACTGAGTTCAAGTGTCTCTTTAGACATTAAGGCCAGTTTAGTCACTCTTTCTCAACTCAATCCACCTTACAGGGTTGTCATAGGGAAAATAGGAAAGAGTATTGTGTGGGTTTGCTGCCTTGAGTTATTCATAAATATAATAAAGGCAGGATGTAAATAGTGTACCTGCTAAGCATTTTTATTTTTAGGCACTAGTCTAGTAGTTCTGCTGTTTGAATAGCAGCATATTCAGTCTTCATTTTATGTTCATGTGTGGAAATAAAAATTGAAATTATCTTTTAATTTGTAAAGATCTTTGCCCCCAGTAAATTGCATTTAATTCCGTATACTGTAGGGCAACTTCCCTTTCTTACCCACGTTATGATAATCGTTATCATTGGAGTAAAATGTTTCCTCCTAGCAATTAAAAAGTTGAACATTTACAGTCTGAACAATATAATCTACCATGACCATACCTGCAAACACCTGTTTTTGCAAGTTCAGACCTGGAAACCTCTTTGTAAGTGGCTGGGAAATAGTCTAGGGATTTGTCACAGATGGGCGAACATGACCGCCTTTACCTGACCCTTGATGTGTCAGACTTCTTTATTTAGT